TTTTTCAGGGTTTAGGGTTTAGCTTTGGAGTTTAGGGCCCCTTATCACTCATTTACCCCTCTCCCGGACACCCCTTTTTACATCATCGATGCCCTTGCCAGGTCCAATTCACGCGTGAGGACATTTTGGAGTCACTTGCCAAGACGGAGAGCACCTCGGGCTCACTTGGAAAGAATGTTGGAGACCGGCAACAGCATGAACGTCTTGACCCGAAGTTGCCTCCGAGCTACACCTGTCAATCCGAAGCGCCAAAGCCCCAAGCACAAAAACATGATTAGCCTCCAAAATGCAAAAAGACACCACCACAAACATACTAGCATCATTGGTATGCTTTGTAGTGAACGTACAACAGAACTCATCAAAAGGCAAAGTTATAGTACTCGCAAAGTTATAGTACTCACTCCCAAGCGCACACTGAGGGATGGGAGACGAGGCGAGCAGCGAGCCAAGATACTGGCGCACGGCCCATCGGATGCTGTTGGGCCCCACTAAAACCTCAGAAGCAAGAGACCCCAAAGGCCCTCAACCCTGAACCCTAGACTTTCGCTTTTGGGTTTGGGGCCTTGAAGGGTTGAGGGGTTCAGGGTTCGTTTTTTCTACATCCCTGGACCCCTACAACCTCCTCAACCCCTTCAATTTTACCGAAAAAACCCCCGGAAGCCAATCAATCCCAGGAGTGGCGGGCGCACATGTTCGCAGCCGCTGTCAAGGATTTCCGGCTCATCGGGTTCCTGGAGTTTTGGGGGCTTTGGGGCTCATTGGGGCTCATTGGGGCTCAAGGGGTTTAAGGAAGGTGCTGCCTTTCTTGCTGAAAAGGGCTTAAGGGCTTTGTGTGTGGCTGAGGGGCTTCGGGGGTGCGGCCCTGAGGAGATCCACGACGTGAGGTATGCCCTGTCAAACCTCGAGTACGCCATGCCGGAAGGTGGTCTGAACGGTGCGCCGAAGGCACGCCTCCCAGACCCTCCGAACCTGCCCAGAGGAGAGCGTGATAATTGTCGCCATCAAGATAGCAGTTGTGCAACCGTGAGGATACTGATTGTACTAGGAACCCTAGTACCCCATGGCCCCCCCCCCCCCCAATTCTCCTTTGGGCTTGTAGCTCGGGTGCAGGCGAAGTACGTGCAACGACTTCTCAAGACCGACTCCATGCCGAAGCCTCGTCCTCAGAGGGCTCCCGGTTTTATTTTTGGCTTGAACTACCTCCGAAACCCTAAGCTCAGCGAGGTTTGAACTCTAGACCCCCAAACCACCTCAAGGCCCGGGAGTCCTAAACTCCAAGCCCTAGGCCCTGAGCCCTGAGCCCCAAGCCCCGAGCCCTAAGCCCCAAGCCCTAAAAACCCATGAACCTCAGAATGAACCTATAAGCCCTTCGAGGTTTAAGCAGCTGCTTTCGGACAAGTTCGATGCAGTCTCCAAGCTCTTGGAGGCTGGACTTTGAGGGCTCTGGGGCCTGTAGGGGTAATCGGATGCGCGCGGCTTTCTCGCGGATTCTTTGGGTTGGCTTGGGAGTACGCAGCTTTCCTTGTAGGGTTCTGGGAGCTTAGGTGCCGCAGTGCGGCGGACAGTACGCCAGACGGCCTGTCCATTGTGGGGGTTTGGTGTTTGAGGGTTTCGCGAGCCGGGCTTGCCAGGTCTTTACACACGAGACGACCAAGCGCTGGGCCTCCTTGGATGACGAGGTGGGATGGACGGTTTCGGTTCAGGTTTTGGGTTTTAGGCCATGGGGCTGGGCTCGTGGGGCGACAGGAGCAGGCAAAAGCGGAGACGGCAAAGTCACAGTGAAAGCAAGAAGCATACACGGCAATAGCGCTGCCAATCTTGATGGCCTGCTAGCAATTGTGGCAGACAGCAAATCCCGACGTGGCAAGACGAGTCCCTTGCAGCCATGGGCAACAGCGAGTCGTTATGCTCAGTATCATCCGGTTTAAATTTTCCAGGACAGCTGATGTACGCTGAAGTCCGGTTTAGGGCTAGGGTTACCAGGCCTGTCTTTTTACAGCTGACGTCCCTCCCCCCTTGTCACAGGCAGCCTGCAGAAACTTTCGGGACGAGCAGTGGCGGATCCAGAGCTCTGTCCTGACGGACACCTGGGCTGGAGGGAGTTGGGAACCCTACCCTAAACTCTACACCCTAAACCCCAAACGAGCATTCAGGGCTGGGGGCCCAAGGGCCTAGGGGGTGTTGAGCAGAGAGACGTTGGTCCAGGTTCGAGTGCTCTTTGAGGCCCTCAGCCTTTAGCTGAAAGCCATTGACATTCTAACCGTATGGAGATCTTCAGGGGAGAAGGCTGGTACGTATTTAGGCTGTGCTACACCCCGAGGCCCTACTGTATGCCCTGAAGCCTTGAAGTCTGCGAGGAGGCGATTGTGATCCCGAGCTTTCTGATGAAGGAGGCCATCTCCTCACTCAGGGTTTATCCGCCTAGCCAAGGGAGGGGATGACAATTTGACGAGACATGGCTCCTAGAAACTCAGAGAAACAACCCCCCCCCGACAGAATCCCTCTTAGTCCTCATGTCCCTAAACACTAAGCCCTAAACACTAAACCCCAAGCCCTAAGCCCAAAATGCCCGCAAGGTCCTCCTCCGGACTGGGAGCCATCTGCAGAACCACAACCAAAAGGGAGCCATCAAGAGCTTCCGGGACTGGAGGGATTGAGGATGAGGGGCCTAGCCTATACATCAGCAGGAGCAGCCCTTACCTTTGTTTTCGGTGAGGCACAGGGATGCGGTAGGCGAAGAGCCCAAACCCGAAGCCTATCTTTCGTTTTTTTTGTTCATTGTAGTCTTGGGGGACCGCAAACAACAACCCCTCTGACTCCCCGCGAGTCTTTTTGGGCATTCCCGTGTGTCTCCTAGGGAAAACGCGTACTTTTTTTTGTGTGCGTGTGTGTGAGAGAGAGTTTTCTTTAGTTTTTTTGTTGCTCGTTGTTTTGATGTTTTGCCCGGGGTTTCGGCTTGGGGGATTCTGGGCGTAAGCTTTTTCGGGTAGTGCTGGCAACATTGACGATTTGAGGAAATCAGCGCTTCGCCTAGGTGAAACGCTTCGTGTTTATCGGGGTTTGTAGCTAATGCGAAATGGAGTCGCTAGCAGAAACAAGCGTGAGCACTGGCTCGATGGCCATCGAAGGCCTGTGCCCACGGGCCCTGAGCCCTGAAGCCCCAAACCCGAACGAAGAAAGTGCGTTTAGAGACCCCTCGGTTTGTACTTTGTCGATGCTACTTCTGCGGCTATGATCATTCATTGTCATCTTTACTACTACGATTAGTAGTATTGTTCAGGTTATAGTTATCATTGTTGTTATTATTCTCGTATCACCATTATCCACAGTGATTTGTTAATCTAATTATTGTCATTGTTATCCAACTTTTCGTTATCTTTATCCTTAGCATGATTATTACCATTACAAGTACAATCTGTATTGACATTGTTATCATGCTTCTCACTATTCTAACTACCATCAGTTTACAATCCTGATCATCGTTAATCTCATTATGGTCACTATTTTCGCTTTTGCCATTGTTAGAATGATTGTCATGAGTGTCTGTCCTGATTATCAGACTTGTCAGTATTCTCAGTATCTGCAACAGCATGATTGCGATGGTTAGTGTCATTATGATCATGATCAGCGTTATCATAATTCGTGATCGGCATTGTTGCTATTTGGCCATGGTGCTTCATTTTCATTCTTGGATCAACTAGTTCGTCTGTTGACTCATCATTACGAAAAGATGGTAGTTCTTCAGCATTAGTACCTCGACAGCTTAGTTTACTGTGCTTACGAGCCCTCGGAGTTGTGAGCCGCGCAGCCCAATCTCATTCGAGACCCGAAAGGCAGAACTACCCGAACAACCCTAGAGAAGCCCGAGTCCCCCGAAACCTTTCCAATGCGGAATGGAAACGACCTGAAACTCAAAACCGCCCCGCCCCTCCCACCCACCTGTGGAAACAAAGACTGAAGGGCTTCCTGGTGTCTTCTTCCAGGTGTTTTGAGAGAACATAGGTTTGAGGACCCTAAACCCTAAACCCTAAACCCTGAACCCTGAACCCTGAACCCTGAACCCTAAGCCCGCAGACCGTCAGGACGATCCTTTGTGCCAGCTCTCCATTCTGCTGGCCTCCTGCGATGCAATGCTGCTGTCGGATTGCCCAGCCACAGGGTTCACATGCGGTTTAGGGTTTAGGGTTTAGGGTTTAGGGACAAGGTTTAGAGGTGGGCAGCTGAATATCTTCATCCGCTGAGGGCTGCAAGCATTGAATGCTGCAACCGGGCAGGTCCATGCAGCAGATCCAGCACCACATCCTGCGGCTGTATTGACGCGGGTCTTTCTCATGCACATAGTACCTCCTTTTAGGTTGCCTTTACAAAAGGCAAAAAAAGGCCTCAGCCGTCTTTGTACGCGGCTTGGGGCGGTTTCCGATAATGTATCTGACGACCTTGTACTTTTAAGTCTCCTGCGAGGCTTTCTGCAAAGGTGAGTGCAGCGGGAGTCAGGGGACACCGGCAAGGGGCGTCCCTCCCGGCCGCTGGCTAATCGAGTCGGCGGGGAGCCACATTTTTCTCTTGCTGGAAAAGCCGCATCGGGTCCCTGTCCATCTAGGGTTTGGGGTTTGGGGTTTGGGGTTTGGGTTTTGGGATAAGGGTTTTGGGTTAAGGGTTTAGGGACTCGAATGTCCCCTCCCGGGAGCCCCACGCGCTGAGACCCATTCAGCCCTGAACCTCAAACCCTCCCGAAGCCCAGGTCCAGCCGCCCGGGCTCACTCGTGTATAGATGCCCTAAGCATTGAACCTCTTCGAGAGCCCACCGGATTGCCCCGCCTGCGTTTCGCTCACCTTCTTGCGTTTCCCCCCGCCTTATGGCTAAGCCCTAAAAGCTTTTCAATCCCCAAAACCCTAAACCCCTAAAACCCTGAAACCCTAAAAGCCCCAAACCCTGAACCCTGGCAAGCCCCAAGCCCCCAAAGCCTACAGCAAACCTTGGGCCACCACCCAGCTGCCAGCTTCCCGAGCCGGGTTTGGACCGCGCGACCTTTAACGTCCGGGCCTGAGGGTATTTTGTACAAAGACATTTGGAGGCATGAGCGTTGCACCCTGTGATTTCATTTTTGGGTGCGGGGGGGGGGAGGAGGGGGGTGCGGGTTTTCGTGTTTTGTTTGGCCTTGGGGGCTTGTAGGGTCTTGGGAAGGAGGGACCCCGATAACAAAAAACTGGCGGTGTTGCACGGCTAAGTTGTGGCTACTCAGTTATGTAGGGACAGGCGGTGATAGCAGGGGCTTCGGGAGTTTTGGTTTAGGGGGTATCGATTCCAGGGTTTCAGGCTTTGCAGGGTAAGGTTTGGGGATTTGGAGGGTTCTTGAAGTTGAGGTTTTTAGGGTTTTTGAGGTTTGGGGTCTCAGGGTTTCTGAAGGTTAGCCTGGATCTTTAGGGTTTAAGAGCTTCGGGTTTTTGAAGCTTAGGCTGTCGGTCGCTTTGTGATTGTTAGGGTTTAGGATGCTTGAGGGCTTTTGAAGTTTAGGGCTTTAGGGTTTGGAGTAGGATTTAGGGTTTGGCGTTTAACAAGGCGCGGTGCTCTAGGTTCTTGGCCGAGGGAGCTTGCATATTCAAGCAGTGCCAGGCTTAGGGTTGAGGGATGGGCTGGGGTGAGCTTTGCTTTTTGCTCTCGCTTGTGAGGGCTTGGGGTTTAAGGCGGGCTTTGTTCGCCATGTTTTCCTTCAGGGCGTATGGATGTAGGGGGCCATCTCAGGCGTCAGGATGTTGGAAGGAAGGTCTGCTTACAAGCTTGTCGCATGAAGGCGAGCTCAAGACACCAAAGCGCCTGCAAGTCAACAGCTTCCAGCAGACAACTCTTGTAAGGTCAGCTTCTCTAGACAAACCCTAGGCGTAAGCCCCTAAACCCTAAACCCTAAACCCTAAACCCTAAACCCTAAACCCTAAACCCTAAACCCTAAACCCTAAACCCTAAACCCTAAACCCTAAACCCTAGACCCTAGCAGAAGCCCTCCGGGACCCCAGTCGGCCATCACTGCGTGTCTCGACGGTCAGATCTGGGGCTGGGCCCTCTGGATGCCAGGCCCCAAGTGGGGTCGGCTTGGGCTTTGGAGCAGTTTGGTGTGGAGGGTTTAGGGGGTTCAGAGCCCTATGGAGCCCCAAACCCTCGAGCCTTCAGCCCAAAAACCCGAAGCTGAGGTTCCGGAGCCTGGCGGAGCTGAGGCGGGCCCCAGCCAAAGCCGCGTGCATTTGGAGGGCTTCGGGCCCCATCTCAGAGGCTTCCCTGTCGAAGAGAAGGGAAATTGAGGCTTCAAAACCCTGAAAGCCCCAAACTCCAAAATCCCAAACCCAACTGTCCTGTTGCAGTCTCGAGTCGGACCACATCACTTTCACTGGAGCCGCCTGCGCATGTGCCATCGGCGGGGCCAGAAGCTTAACATCGGATTCGCGGCTAAAAGACACTGAAGTCACTGTCCGCAACCTTCCAGCTCCAATTCGCATACTCTCCGAGCATTTGGCTCAAGGCCTCTGCGGTACCGACACGCAAAGGGTCGCAGCACTTGCGTTCGGAGCATAGTGCACCATGCCAGAAGGACAGATGGAGATCACTGAGGCCGCGAAGTCTGGCGATGGAAGTCTCAAGAATGTTGGCATCAAAGTGAACGGCAAGTTCAAGTCTCCCGTCAACAACCAATGCTTCGATACCCAAGAGGCCCTCGACCTCCACCTGAAGTATCTCCACGATCCCAAGAAGGCGAACCCGGCAATCGAGGAGTGAAGAGCATCCGGGTGAGAGAATGGCGTGATGGCGCTGGATTGTGGCCGCGCGGCTCCTTTTGCAGCCGATTGAGGGGTGAAGTTCTTTGCGAAAGATCAGTTGCAATGTGAGCCTCACGTTGCTTTTGACATTCGAGAGGTGGCATTTTGTCGGTAGCGCTCAGTATGAGCTGTACAGTTTGTATAGTCGCTCAACGCTTCCCCAAGACGCTAAGACAGCTGGACCGTGGCTGACAAACAAACTTTCCTCATTCCGGGAGGAGGAGGCTTCGTGTCTTCCAGCTTAAATATGCAAAGGTCATATGGTATTGTGCGATTACATGTCTACATGTTTCTACTGTTGCACTAGTGTCACTAGTACATGTTTATAGCAATAGGTTGTTATAGTATTCGGGAATACTCGGGCCCTCGCCCAAGCGCAAAACAATGTTCGCCTTACACAACCCCCCCCTCCACAGCCTGCTGAGAAGGTCTCTTTTCATTCTCTTTCCTTGATCGTCCCCTCTGTGTCCAAGCATTTGGCTCAAGGCCTCTGCGGTACCGACACGCAAAGGGTCGCAGCACTTGCGTTCGGAGCATAGTGCACCATGCCAGAAGGACAGATGGAGATCACTGAGGCCGCGAAGTCTGGCGATGGAAGTCTCAAGAATGTTGGCATCAAAGTGAACGGCAAGTTCAAGTCTCCCGTCAACAACCAATGCTTCGATACCCAAGAGGCCCTCGACCTCCACCTGAAGTATCTCCACGATCCCAAGAAGGCAAACCCGGCAATCGAGGAGTGAAGAGCATCCGGGTGAGAGAATGGCGTGATGGCGCTGGATTGTGGCCGCGCGGCTCCTTTTGCAGCCGATTGAGGGGTGAAGTTCTTTGCGAAAGATCAGTTGCAATGTGAGCCTCACGTTGCTTTTGACATTCGAGAGGTGGCATTTTGTCGGTAGCGCTCAGTATGAGCTGTACAGTTTGTATAGTCGCTCAACGCTTCCCCAAGACGCTAAGACAGCTGGACCGTGGCTGACAAACAAACTTTCCTCATTCCGGGAGGAGGAGGAGGCTTCGTGTCTTCCAGCTTAAGTCCAAGCGCAGAACAGTGCTCGCCTCACACCCGCCCCCTTGACAGCTTGCTGACAATTTCTTCTTCATGAGCTGCAACCCCTAAATCCTAAACCCCAAACCCCAAACCCTAAACCCTAAACCTAAACCCCAAACCCCAAACCCTAAACCCTAAACCCTCAACCCTCTGGAGACCTCGAAGCCCAGCACACCCCCGAAGCCTCAAAGTTGAAGGCCTGGGCAGGGAGCTTGGAGCTGCTGGCGCGGCTGCCGCCCCACGAAGGCGTCTCAAGGATAGGGTTTAGGGTTTAGGGTTTAGGGTTTAGGGTTTAGGGTTCAGCATCTCAAGTCCGAGCATTCACTAGTCAAGCAGCTTGTCAAGCGTTGGAAAAAAACCCCACCCACCCAAGAAACCCATAACATTGAGAAAGTATAAAGTTCACTCAATACTTTCCCGGTAGGCTTAAAGCTCAAAGTCCAATTGGTCCAAAATGTTTTAGTCTTTAACGGACCCAAAACCCGAAATCTAATCTAAGGCCCGCAACAAGCCCTTTATGCTCTTAGGGCCCTAAACCCTACGGTTTAGAAGCCCCGATCGTGAAGGCTCGGTTTTGGTCAAAAATCCAGAAAACGAGAACCCACCCAGAACCGTCGATTGCAGTACTAAAAAATCGCATTTTTAACCGGGACCCTTGCCGATCCTGGGGTTCCCCTCATTTGGGGTGTTTTGGGAGGCAAACTTTCCCTCTCAAGGGGGTCTCCGAAGACTATTTTGCCTTTAAAATTGGAAAATACGACCCCCCCTTCCTTGACCAAAACTAGGCTGTGAAAAGGTCGCCGGGGTGGCCCGTCATCAGAATTGAGGGTTAAAAACCCTGAAACACCCTGAAAAACATTGGAAAACCTTAAAAACACTGAAAAACAGAACGTGAAAAAACTTGAAATCCTGAAGCCGGTAAGCTCGCTTTTGGTCAAAAATCCAGAAAACGAGAAGCCACCCAGAACCGTCGATTTCAGTACTAAAAAATCGCATTTTTAACTGGGACCCTTGCCGATCCTGGGGTCCCCCTCATTTGGGGTGTTTTGGGAGCAAAATTTAGCCCTAAACCCTCTGCCCCAAACACTACGAGCCCTAAACCTTATGCCCCAAATAGAAAAAACCATTTGCCCACGAAGGGGGTCAGGGTTTAGGGCCCCCCTGGGTGGAAAAAAACCATTTGCCCACGAAGGGGTCAGGGTTTAGGCCCCCCCCGGGTGGAAAAAAACCATTTGCCCACGAAGGGGGTCAGGGTTTAGGGCTCCCCCCGGTGGAAAAAAACCACTTGCCCAGGAAGGGGGTCAGGGTTGCCCCCCGGGTGGAAAAAAACCATTTGCCCACGAAGGGGGTCAGGGTTTACCATTTGCCCACGAAGGGGGTCAGGGTTTAGGACCCCCCCCGGGTGGAAAAAAACCATTTGCCCACGAAGGGGGTCAGGGTTTAGGGCCCCCCCCGGGTGGAAAAAAACCATTTGCCCACGAAGGGGGTCAGGGTTTAGGGGCCCCCCGGGTGGAAAAAAACCATTTGCCCACGAAGGGGGTCAGGGTTTAGGGCCCCCCCCGGGTGGAAAAAAACCATTTGCCCACGAAGGGGGTCAGGGTTTAGGGCCCCCCCGGGTGGAAAAAAACCATTTGCCCACGAAGGGGGTCAGGGTTTAGGCCCCCCCCCGGGTGGAAAAAAACCATTTGCCCACGAAGGGGGTCAGGGTTTAGGGCCCAAAGGCTCGGTTTTGATCAAAAATCCAGAAAACGAGAGCCCACCCAGAAGCGTCGATTTCAGTACTAAAAAATCCATTTTGAACTGGGACCCGGGCCGATCCTGGGGTCCCCCTCATTTGGGGTGTTTTTGGAGGCACGGCCCAGGAAAAAAACCATTTGCCCACGAAGGGGGTCAGGGTTTAGGGCCCAGAAAAAAAACCACTTGCCCACGAAGGTCATTAGGGTTTAAATACACATAGTAAGAGAGGGTTTAGGGTTTAGGGTTTAGGGTTTAGGGTTTAGGGTTTAGGGTTCGTGAGACCCTTTTGCACGACCAGAAGCCCCCAACTTGTGTCCCTAGCTCCTGGGCTCCCTACAAGATGTCCTTCCTTCCACTCTCCTCAACACCCTGAATCCTGAACCCTTCACGCCTTCACCCCCATCCCCCAGCCCTGTACTCACAAGGCCTGAGGGCCTACCCTAGGTGCGAGGTTCCAAGCATCATCACCACCACCTCCCCGCCCCGCCCCAGTGCCGAGAGAAGCTGGGAGGCAAGTCGGGTGGCAGGCTCGCGGAGCTGACCAGGAACCTGCCAGAAGTGCAGCGTCTCCGGAAACGGCGCGCCAGCAAGCCGAATGAGAGGACCTGCACTTGGGTGCGAGGGATTTGGGAGCTCAAGGGAAATTTTGGGGGAATTTGGAGGTTCCGGAGTGTTGGGTGCTGTTGCTTCTTGGATCCTTAGCCGGCTCCTCGGGTCGAGGGCCGAAGAGTTTGGACTTGGGGAGGTCTTGGGTTGGGTTGAATCTGCAAGAGTGTCGGAAGACGTAGAGCCCTCATCTCCACCTCCCAGAACCCGAAATCAAGAGCCCAAGCAGGACTGGCCGCGTGAATGCTCTCGAGACCGTGGCCATCAACAAAGCCTACGCCAAGCTGGCAGAGCACAGGCTCAGAAGTTGAACCCCCAAACTCCACCCCCCGAAGCCACCCAGCACTAAGCTTCCCAGACCCAAGGCATGGTGAGGTTGCGGCTTATGGCAAGTTACTCGCGAGGCCTCCAACAACACAGAGGAGGAAGGTACTCGACAGGACCTGGCCTGGCAGGTTCAGAGCTTGTGGTTGACCAGAGGCGCCCCAAGCAGAAGAACACGGCACGCTGTTTAGTACAGAACGCACTTACAATGCGTCACCGAACGCCAACAAGGATCAAAGCCCAAAACCCTAAAAACACTTCCAGGTAACCTCGAAGAGCATCAGCCACAAGCTGATATGTTGCCCACAGGACCCCGAACCCCTTAAAGGACCGTTCCTTAAATCAGAATAGGGATCGTAGTCGATGGTTTAAGAAAAGTCCTTACTCCAGGGGTTTTTGGCTTTCCGGGTACGCCGAGTCTCACTTCTTTCTTGGAGGTAGGGTTCTTCAGAATCCCACAACGGCTTTTCACAACAAAAAAGTAGGTCAACTCTGCGAAAAAAGACCCCCATTCTCCACCCAGACCACAGCAGGACCTCTGGGTTGCTGGACGCCGCGCTGCAGAGCTGCGCAGAGGAAGGGCTACGACTCTCTCTGTTGAAAAAAAAAAGAAAGTTTAAGGGTCCCCTATCCGGTGCCTTTTGGAGAAGCCTGCGCCCCAAGCACTTAGCTAGGACAACCCTCCCCTTTCAGCACGTAACGCTTGTCCCAAGGTCCCGTAAACGTGATAGTGGCGATCGAGCTGCCAGCAGGATCTGGGAGCCCAAGTGGAGCAACCCCCCTTTTCCCCTTTCCGGTATCCTTAGAAGTCATTCTGTGGTTTGTCATTGGCCATACCGAAGAGGAAGCCAACCAGAGATCTTTATCTTCTGACTGGAGTTATCAGAGTTCCCCAGACATCCGCGGAGAACTCGTGTGCCATCTGCTACTGGGTCGATGTGTTTTTTTAGCCCGCAATCCCAGAAGATAACCCAATCGCTGTGTGCCGTGCGGAATCAGCAAAATTCACATAGTTGATGCTTACCAGGCTATAGTTCTGTAAGCTGCTTTTGGAACACGACACGCGAGGGCACGCTTGCAATGAGCATGTGAATATGTGACCGTTTTATATGCTGTATTTGAGACACGAAACGCATCGAAACGCCAAAGTGCTCCTGCGATAAGGGTGCCGATATGTACATCTGAAGATATGTACGAATGTGCATGTCCGCTGGTGTGTTGGTCAACTCTGAAGTTTGAAGCACGAATGCTAGGGCGTGATCGCTGGTTGCAATCAGGGTTCAGGGTAGTAAGTCAGAAGTCCAGGGTATGTGCCAGGCCCTGGGAGTCTTTTTGCGACATAGCCGACATAGCCCTTATGGCACGGAACGTCGAATGTATGTAACAAAGGGATGGGACACCGCGACATACCCCTATTCAGACCCACAGCCATGTCGCACTCATAGGTTCGAGTGCATGTTGGCCTTGGCCTTGCCAAGACAGGTTCGAGGTATCGTTCGCGGTATCGTTCGCGGTATCGTTCGGGTATCGTTCCGACAACAATGCATACTCCCCCATCGAAAGCCCAGCTCTTGAGGTTACGTTTCAATGGCAGTTCTTTATCGCTGTGCCCTGCACCCCGAAACAGGCATTTTGTTAGCGTCTCAAGCTAGCCTCACGTGGCCACCGAGAGGCCGAAAGGTAGCTTCAAGCAAACGTTCACAGGTGGATTCATGGCAGCGGTACTGTTTTTTCGCTGTGCCCTGCGGGAAGACCCCACGTTTTTCCATAGTTCCATCCTGGTTTCAAGATGCCATCCCCAAGAGGTAGAGGTTTTTCCCATCATTGTCGCATGTTTTGGGCCTTGTGTGCCCTGGGGATTTCGGATCTGGGCTATCTTCTTGACATGTTGGGCTACCTGCTGTGCCCTGGGGTTGGGCTATCTACAAGGTGATTGGGCTATGAAACCACGCGCGCTCGATTCATATAGGCCCCAGTCTAGGTCCTTTAGGACATCCTTTTTTGTGGAAAGGCCGCCGTTTGGGAGCCCGCGCTGAGGATGGTGCCCGCCACCGTAGGCTTGCTGTTACACCACCTAAGCCGCTTAAGCCTTAGCTCGAGCCTTAAACCGCTTGAACCCGGTTGAGGTACAGGCGGAGCGGTTTGACATCGATGGCCAGGAGCGCAGAAGAATAAAATTTTTGGTAGCTTTGGCCCAAAAGCCGCCGCAGATGTCGTCCTCCAAGGTTCCTGAGCCCCGAAGCTCCAAACTCTCGAGCCCCGAAGCACCTCGAAAAAAAGGCTCCCCACGCCCTTGAGGCTTGTCCTTGCAGCGCTGCAACTCCTTGACGTCCTCGTGCTTGCGAAGTGCCGTTCCCAGGGCTGCGGTCTAGGGTTCAGGGTTCAGGGTTCAGGGTTTAGGGGTTAGAGGGTTCAGGGTTTGGCATTGTGTGTCAGGGGTTGGTTTAGGGTTTAGGCTTTGGGGTCGAGGGTTTTCCCCAACTGAGGAGACAAAGGGGCTTCAGGGTGTTCGTACCGGGGCATACGGGTATTCGGGTCTTAGGGGCTTTAGCTTCAGGGTTTAGGTCTTATGGTTGTCTTGTGGTGTGTTGCCCTGAGCCCTACACGCATATCAGAGCTCAAATCCTGGCGAAGGCCATGCTTGGTCCTGGGGCTTGCTGATGCTGGGCCGGTGGCCGAGGTGTAGTTGCGCTGTTGCGCGGTTTCCGCGCACGGCCGCGTAGTGCCCCAAGCTGTTAATGCGCAGCATCTGCAATCTTAAAGTTACCAGATCCTCCTTAGGACCCCAGAGCCGGCCAAAGCTCTGCTGCTCAGCTCACCAGACTCGGCAACATGCCCCACCTTGCCCTAGGCCGCGCCCGGCAATGCGACTTGCGCCTGGATGCCATCAGCGCCACGGCGGCCTTCTCCAGCTGCCAGACGGAACAGCAGTGGAAGGCCCTTCCTGCCCGCTGAAATTCTGGGTATACGCTTCCTCCTGGGCTTAAGGGATGAAAGTTGCAAGCCTCAGGGGTTCCATGTTTGTTATGGGGTAATCGGGTTCTGGTGGTGCAGAGCCATGGAGTGTTGGGTTTGGGGGTAAAATGAGCCCGCTGCGTTTTGTTGCTTTCTCGCAGCGAACTCATTATACCCACACAACAAAAAGACCAAAAACTGGAAAACCAAAAAAACCAAAACCAAAAAAACCAATTTTGGGGAACTCCTGGAAGTGGCTTATTATCAGCCCTTACATCGAAAAGTTCCTCAAAATTGTTTTTTTTTGTTTTTTTTGGTTTTTTTGGTTTTGTTTTTTTTGGTTTTTCAGTTTTTGGTTTTTTGTTGGTTTTGGCTGTGTTTGGTTTTCCAGTTTTCGGCATCTCTATAGCCCTGCTGCAACCCCTAGGGGTGGCAGAGGAGCCTAAGCATGATTTGCAACAGCATATAAGTCTTAATGAAATAATAATGAATTATTAATTCATTATTGATTAATAGTTTTTTGATGGTTTACTATAATTTGATTATTAATTACTTGTTAATTTATTTATTTATTACTTATTAATTTGTTGATTAATTAGTAATTATGATTTAATTATTAATAATTAATTCATTAATCATTCATTAATCATGAAGTAATTAATTGTTAATTAATAATTAATTCAATTAATTCATTGACAAATAATTAACAATTAATTCGCTGGCCAGTAGCGATAACCTTAAAACTTAAAATCGAAACCTTAAATTCTAACCTTTAAACCTTAAACCGTAATTTCCTAAACCTTATCCTTAAACCGTAAACCCTAACCTAAACCCATTAATTATTAACTGCTTAATTATTAATTCTTAATTATCAATTAACAATTAATTGTTTATTAATTAGTTATTAATAATAAGAACTAAGTATTAATTATTTACTATTTAATGATTGATTAATTCTTAATTAATTAATTATCAATTAAGTATTAATTGTTAACTAATTATTAGTTGATTATTAATTAAATATATTTCAATTATGAATTAATATTAATTCAGTACTTTTTAAATAATAATTAAATTAATTAATTATTAATTAATTATCATTCAATATTCATTAATGATTCATCATTAATAGTATATGAATTATTTATTAATTGATGATTAGTTAATTATTAAGTGGTTACGTAATAATTATCAATTGATTTTTATTATTAATTAATTATTAAATATGAATTCTGAATTAATGAATTATTAATTAATTTAATATTATTTATTATTAACTTATTAATTATTAATTATTATTTATTATTTATTATTTAAGTATTAATTATTTATTAACTAATTTCCACGATTTTCCACGATTACTTAATTTATAATATATTATTGATTCATTATTTATTTAATTATTAAATCATTTTGTCGTTATTAATTAATTATTCATTAAGTATTAATATTAATTAATTATTATTTAATTAATTATTACATAATTACTTCCTCGTCGAAGGTGAGTGTCCCATCCAGCCCACCCTCATCCCCTACAAAACTTGCCATGGCAAGCCTCTTTTGCTACGACAAAATAGTCGAAATACTTCGAGCACATATAACTATGGCACAAGTGAGCATAGATTCAAGATGCGGAAGACATAGTTGCATGTCAAGTGAAACAGAAAGCAACAAAAACGCAGCGGACTCATTTTACCTCCAAACCTGTTGGGTTTGCAAATTCATCTGGCAGTCCGCATGTGCGAGGCCAGGTTCTCCGCAACCTGTCCACCTCCCCCGTTTTTGGGTTTAGGGTTTGCCCCCCACAAAGTTCGTGCTAAGCCCACTGCGGCTCAGGGACTTTTTAAGGGTTTAGGGGCTCAGAGGTTCAGAGGTGTACGGTACTTGGGCAAACCCCCCGGCGCCCCCAAGCACCTTGTCGAGAGCTTAGCTCGAAATGCGGGCGAAGCGCGGGAGGTGACTGCGATGATCTTGGAGGACCTGAGAGTAGGCCACAAGCTTGCAAGTGTTTGGGGTTCAGGCCTCGTGGGTGTCGATAGAAAGCCCCAACTACCCTCAACTAAACCCTGATTTCTAAACCCAACGCCCGCAACCTAGATGGTGGTATTAGGGACGTTCCGAACAAAGTCCTTGAGGTTGAGAGGTGTCGAGATCTCCTCCTCACCCGACATGGGTTTTCGGAACCTTCTCCCAAATTGGGATTTCAGGTTTCGTTGTACTTGGGTTCTTAGGTGCGCGGGTTCGAGCCTTTCGGGAATGTTAGGGTGCTTGCGTTCTCGGTTAGGGATTGGTGCTTGAGGCTAGTGGTTGACCGTAAATCCTAGCCGCACAGGTGAAGAGTCTGGCGTGGAGGCGGACTTGACGATGCTGAGTTCCGCCGCCACCTCCATGGAGAAAGGCGTGTGGGTCCCTGGAAGCCCCGCCCCCTTCCCGCCAAGACCATGGGAATGTGATCACATGTCATGTGATCCTAGAGTAATTTCACAACTTCACAACTCAAGATTACAATAAAGGAAGTGTTACTTAATTTTAAGCTTAAATACTATACAACTATAGTTTTTCAAGATTATATATATATATATATATATCACTTCCAGAAAATCTTATCGTACAAAAAGAATGCAACATAAGAATATTGTAAATATATACATATATGTCTTAATATTGGAAATTAGCGAGCGAATAAGATATTAATGTAATAATGCAATATCGTAAGAATGTAATGCTTCAACAACACGCAATGTAAACGTAGAAAACTTATGTGAGAATGCAACAAAAATAGCGATATGGAAATATAATAATATAGTAATATAGGAATATGGGGATACAGGAATATGAATAAACAAATTTAGCGAACAATATAGTCGTTTAATTGTCAAGTATTGTAGTAGCACCACAACATAAAATAATGCAACAACATAGTAAATGGAAAGTGAAAGAGCAGAGTATATGGCTCTTAGAATATACACTGATATACTAATGTGTTAATACAAGCTAATAATACAAGAAAAGCTAAACCATATCGACTGATAGCATAGTAACATAAGAATATATTCAATAATATAGCAATAGAAATGATAGATAAGTAGATAAACTATGTACTAATCTAATGGAATGCTAGTATGATAACATCATGATATACTATAGTTAGATAAAATTGTAATATGATAGCAGAGTATTATAAATAGTGGTAATGAAACCAAACTTAGAATTTCATAGTATAGCAATAGTATGTTTTCAGCCGGTCGAGAGTCGAGGCTGGCAGCTTACCGGGTGTTGAACACCATCAGCCCTGAAAGAGAAGTACGCGAACACGGGCTGGGGTGTGGTGTGTGTGTGTGTGTGTGGGTGCGCCCTTCTGAAGAAAGAGACACTCCCACATCCCTGAACCCCAAAATCCCTAAAAACTTTCAAGCCCTAAACTTCTCAGACCCCTGAACCCCAAAACCTCCAAAGCCTTCGAAGCCCTATACTGAGAGGCGGACACTGGAGCCGAGCCCTGCGTCTGCTGGGCGCTGCCCAGGCTGCCAGGCCCGCTTTGGGGGGTGGGGGGTGGGGGGTGGGGGGTGGGGGGAGGGGGGGGTGTGAGGGGGGGGGGGGCATCCTGGCGTCTATTTCGGGTGTGGGGGTTTAGGTTTAGCTTTTTCAGGGTTTAGGGTTTAGGGGTGTAGATTCATTGTTTTGGGTCTAGGGTCTAGGGTCTGGGGTGGATTTGTGGTTTTAGGGTTAAGGGGTGATTTAGGGCTTGGAGGGGATGGGGCAGGGTTTCGGAGTCAGGGTTGTGTGCAGCTTTGCGTGTCATTTCGGCAAATATATCCTTGGCCTCAGGATTCGGGTGGCTTGAGAGGCTGGAGTTTTGTCCAAGTTCTTTACTTGGACCACAAATCAAAATTCCAAAGTTGGGGACTTCGCAATACAATGCCTTAACAACGATGGCGAAGACAGCAAGTGGTTAAACATGTTCACAGCCTTTTGGGCAAACCATTCCTTTCGCTTGTAAGTATGTTTTCATACGCGAACTTCATTTTCCAGCAGCCCAACAGCGTATTAACCGCGCGTAATGAATATGTGACGTTAATGTTGACTTCGGCTTGAGGGTTCAGGGTTGCGGCATTTGGAGTTTGCTTGGGGGTGAACCAGGAACGTGAGCAGGGTGAGCTCAATTCCTTGTTGTTCTTCGGCTTGGGGTATCGAGTCGGTATTGAGGGTCTTCGGAGATCTGCCTTCGGCCCCTGTAGCATTGTGGCATCGCTGGGGCCCTTGCAAGGGGCAGCGTAGGCTTTACAGATATTTTGGTGCGTGCGAAGGGTAAGGTCGAGGGTCCCCTCCCCAACCCTTCCGAACTTCCCTCAAAAGGGGGCAGAGACTGCACAAGGCTCCAGCACAACCTGGTCAGCTACGGAGCAGCCATCGATGCCTATGGTGCAGGCTCGGGTTCCCGGCCCTGAATCCCTGACCCCTCAAGAAAAAGAGCCTCGAAACCGATAGTGCGCCTTGTTCTGGCCCATCAACAAAGCCCCTTTTAGAAGCAGAGAGGAGGTTGGCAAGGGGTGGGGGGCGGGAAGCGCACTCCCCCTCCAAAACGCCTCAGCCCCAATCCAAAAACCCTGATCTTTCAGTCGATGGCGGGTACAGCGTTTCTTTGCGGCGGGTAAACATGCCCTGAGCCCGTGAGAGCTGCAGGCGGTCTCTGGCAGGATGCCGGCGCGCTGGTGGATGAGATGCGGCAGCTGGGCGAGAGGTGTGCCCTTAGGAGGGGCTTGAGGTTTTACCTTTTTGATGTTCCCGAAGCCCTACAGAGAGTTGATTTGGATGTTAGATTTTGGACGCTTTCATTCCGTTCCATGGGCCCCAAGCCGTATATAGCCCACAGAAATGTACTTTTTGTAGGCTCCCCCCCCGAATCCACCCCAGTACGCCTGAAACCCATCCGCACCCTCTGGGAGTGCGTGCAATGGGGGGGTTTTGTGTTGTATGTGCTAAACTTCCTAAGCTTCCGATACCCTCAATTCTCTAAACTCTGCACACCAACCTCAGCTGTGGACCCCATGAGGCTTCGGAGCCATCCCCTCATCCCAGAAGTCTGTCCGGCACAGGCCCAGCGTCATTGCCTACCATGCCATGGTCCAGGGCTCCAGTGCCGCGAGCTGGGAGAGGGTGCGCTGGGGCTCATGGCATGTTCGTGGGACTGCAGCTGCTGGCAGCAGGTTTGTTTTCTAACCCTCAATCTTACCATCCTAAACCCTACACCCCCCCCCCCCCCCCACATGGTTTTGCAGCTTCTGCGATTTATTCGCATCATGTCAGGGCGTGGACACCTTCCGCCTGATGCAGTCCGAAGGCCGGACAGGGGAACATCCGGACTCTTCTTGGAGGCTCATGGGTAGTTATAAGCAGGGTGATAAGTGCCCCAAGTGGAGTTATATGTGTAACTACCATACTTCAAACCCTACATATACTTGTTCCTGAGCCTCCAAGTAGAGGTAGCGTTGGAGGCTGAGCTTCTGGCCCAGGGCTGAAATGGACTGTTCTCGCGTGCGACGACGTGGTCCGATCCTGCTGGCAAAGTGCGGGGCCTGGGGGGCAAAGATCGATCTTTCGTTGAGACCCGTTTTTCCCAAGTGCTGTGCATTGTGAGCTTCAATCTGGCGCCCCGAGCATGCGTTTTGGCTTGGGTTGTTCGGGGCGTGGCTCTGGTTGTCTTGGCCTCTGACCCTCAGGTGGCGCAACAGGCCCTGTGCCGCAGCTACTGGCAGCTACCAGGAGCAAGTGCGGAGCTCGGCATTGGCATTTTGAATCCAAGCACTGGAGACGAGGGTGAGGCCCAGCCTTATATCTGGCCTAGGCGCGACTGGGCACAGCAACTTCCTCCAACGCGGCAGGGCGAAGCAAAAATCGTGGGCTAAGCCCAAGTGTGGAGAAGTTGCTTGGAGTAGGCCACGCTTGCCCGCGCGCACATCGCACGCACGCACGTTGCGCACGTTGCATGCATGCACATTGCTTGCACGCACAGTGCACGCGCGTGGCACGCACGCACCTTGCACGCACTCACGTTGTATGCATGCATGTTGCACGCACGAACATATCACGCACGCGCGCATCCACGCACGCACGCATGCACAAACAGATTGCACGCACGCAAGCACGCATGCACTGGGGCTGTGGGCAGCAATAATCTACTTCCAGTCCCAGTGCCTCTGGTCTAACTTGATACGTGGTGGGCTGCCAGTCGAAAGCGTTGAGGCGTAAGGATTGCAGCTTTCGCTCACACATTCACACATTCACACATTCACACATTCACACATTCACACATTCACACATTCACACATTCACACATTCACACATTCACACATTCACACATTCACACATTCACACATTCACACATTCACACATGCACACATGCACACATGCACACATGCACACATTCACACATTCACACATTCACACATTCACACATTCACACATTCACCCATTCACATATCTACACATCTACACATTTACACATACACACACACACACACACACACACACACATTGCACGCGCGGAGTCGCCCAGCGCACATTTGCCCACAACTGCACGGTCACGTGAAGTGCAGATCTGTTATCGCTCTTTCAGCCCTGGATCGTGCTCCCGTGATCGGCATGCCTTGCCCCACTTGCGCGGCTGGACTCAGGCTATGCTGCAACGTGCTACTGAACCGCCCCCCCCTCAGACACTGCCATGGTGCGCTTTGCCCTGTGGAGTCTCTGGAGTCTTCTGCTCTCCGTGACCGTCGCGACAGGGGCAGAAGTCGAAGGTTGTGAGGCGGACGTGGCTTCTGCTCTGCAGGTGATGGGCCGAGTGAAGAACCCCGATGATGATTCGCCTCCAGAGGAGGATCCAGCGGATGATGATGACGAGGATCCTCCGGAAGAACCGGAGGATGATGATGACGAGGATCCTGAGGAGGATCCGGACGTCCCCATTGTGCTTGAGCCGGAGGAGTGTGAACAGGTGTGCTGTTACTCAAGATTCAGTTCTCCGGAGTCTCTCTGTGGTTGCCTCGCGGATCATTCGATTTCATGCAACTTCTGCTCCAGCCCATACTTTGCCACTCCGAGCGAGTATCACGTCCCGGACTCTGGCAGCTTCAACGTTTCCATCTTGGTAAATGAGACGGGCCTGACGACCATCTCTCAGCTCGAGGTGGGCTTGGGCCTAGCCGGATTCCATCTACAGACTCTTGGGATCACTTTGCTTGGGCCGAATGCAGAGAGCCTTCGGCTCAAGGGGGCGGAGCCGGACCAGCCGGATGAAACTCAGGAAGTGCATTGGGTCTTCTCTAATCGACCCGGCTGCAATGATTGCAAAGAGCCCGTCGACAGCCTGTCGCAGCTTCAGGGCAAGGAGGCCAAGGGCACGTGGACTCTGATGTTCGAGACCGACCCAGAAGTTTTGAATGGTCTGGTGAGCTGGGTGGAGCTGAGTCTCACTTCCTGTTAGGACTCTGTCCAAGTTCATGAGCTTAAATTGTTTGTGTATCTCAGGCTTTTGGGCTTATGGGCGCAAGGCCGCCCCTTTGAATGTTCTGAGTCGATACTGGCGGACAAGTGGCGCTTCTGAGAGCGAAGCCTCGATCAGAACACGATGTCGACCCAATATCCGCGCCGCTGGCAAAGAGCAGAATGGTGTCTGGCCTGTGTCTGGCTGCATTCACGCACATCGTACAGCTCCCAAGTGCAGGATAAGGTCTCCACACAAAGAGAGAATTTGAGAATCTACCTCCGGGATCTCGGAAGAGGGAGGAGGAGGGGGTGGGGCAAGAGCGGTTACATGTTGTTACCAGTGTATGCTGGGGCGACACGGCTCCTGCGATTGCATGGTTGCCCGCAGCTGAGTGGCCAGAGCCAAAAGTACCAGAAGCGAACACGGACACAGGCCAACCAAGTCCGAAACCTCAAGCCTGAGTAGTTGAAGCCAGCCCACAGAGCTTGCAAGACTCTTCGCCGACGCTGGCCAGAGCAACTCTGAACACGGGCCTGCCGTCGCACGTGCACATCCGTCGGCCAGATGAGGTGTCCGGGATGAGGGCCTTGGAAATATTGTAAAGGTCGGAGTAGCGACTTATAGTATTCCCTTGTGGTGCCTTTGTAATTATACTAATACTAACCCCCCCAAAATCGGGTCCCTAAGAAAGGTCCTTGCTGCTTCATGCCTCGTCTTGTTGTGGCTGCTTAGACCGCCAGTGAGAACTTGGATCCATCCCGGCCTTGAACCCAGAACTCTTTAAACACTCTGAACTTAAACCCTATACCCTCTCTGAAGCCTTCAGCCCTAAACCTTGGCATGTCCCCCCCTTGTACTCACACTCCTTAATAGGGATTTAGGGGGTACGATCATCCCTAAGGACTGTCAGAGTAAGTTGGAGCATCCCAACCCTCAACCCTTCGAAAAGGTGTGCAGCTGGTGCATGGCGGCTCTGCCGGGAGCCTCAAGGGTTTGTGGGGCTTTTGGTTCGGCTATGGGCTGGGAGTGCCAAAACCCGAAACTTAGGGTTTTAGGAATTTGGGGTTTGGGTTTGTTGGTTTCTGTGGTTTGCTTTCGTTTTTTTTGATTAAAGGGTCCAGGGTCCTAAGCTCCAGATACCCCTGCGAAACCCCGAAAGTTGGGATGTTCCCCAAAAGTGCTGAAGCACCTACTGGGGGTAAAACGGTGACCCCAGCCGCCTAAGTCTAACACCCCTCCAACCTAAACCAGAAAAGTCGTGGTAAGAATGACCATGGTCGTACGGTTTCACAGCAGGAACACAAACAATAGCAACTAAAGTTACTGAAGCACATCGATGGTAATAATCATGTCAAGAATACCTAACCCAGAGCCAGGTCGCTCTCCCAGCCCCTCGGAAACCTATTCCGAAACATTCGACAAGCCTTGGGGTTTTGGCGTCTAGTCACGAACTCAGTTGAGAGGGCAAGAACGACGGATTTTCAGACAGTAGACCGCAGTTTCTCGGCAGTTTCAACCGCAAGAACAATACTCCTCATTCTTTTGGGATGACTGGTGAAAGAGTCAGGCAGCGGATGCAAGACGCGGACCACCAACTCTGCAACTCTATGGCGCTCTATTAGGTTTAAGGTTTAAGCCGTGGGGCTATCAGGAAAGCATACCTGAAGCAAGAAGCTGCGCAGAAAGCCTTGAACAGCTCATGATTTTTGGGCCACCGAAACCCTCCAAATCTCTGGGGACCCATAAACCCAAAAACTCTGAATCCCCAAAACCGCTGAATAATGTTAAACGCCTCAGTCCGAATGCCGCCGATTGCAGTCTTTCTGCAGGCCTTTGCCTGCGGCGTGCCTGATTGATGGAGGTGCGCTTTGCCATGGCGATCTTGGTAGCTGCAAAGTGTTTGTGGGCATGAAGACGGTAGTTTGGGATGTTCCCCCTTATAATAACTGTCCTTAATCGGGATTATTATAGTACCCCTGTCATAATCCCTATTGGGGGCTGTTGGTACAAGGGGGGAACACCCCAAACAGTAGTTCCTATTTACCAGGAGTCAGGCCTACATTCCCAAGAAATCTCACCTGCAGAGCTTCTTGGGCCCAAACACCCTGAACCCTACACCCTCATGACAGGGGTTTACCCCAGCCTCTGTGCTTGCCAACATAGCGGGACCCAAGCCCTATGCAATGTCTACAAGCCCAAAATGCAAAACCCTGAGGCTATATAGTATCTAGTATGTCCGAGATATAATGAGAGATGATAGATGACCTGTATATATATATATATATACATACACAGAGTATCAGATTATGCCTGACGTGCTACCCCCAGCCCTAAACCCTGTGGCCCCAGTGGTCAAAGAGCCACCTCACCTAAAGCTGCAGGCTGAGTTTGGATGCTACTTCCTCAAGAACTGGCAACCTGCCGCCCTGCCGAGGAGAGTCTCAGTGGGCCTATTACCTTCTCTAAGGGCCTTAGGATTGAGTCCGGGGATGTTTGGGCTTCAGGGTTCAGGGATGGTGTTGGGGTATAAGGCTTGTAGTTGGTACGTACACGTGTCCAGGAGTCCAGATTCGAAGTTCTCTGTGAAAGGAAGCGGCTCCTGAAAAATGCCCAAGCCCTGGGGTGCCCCAAGCGCAGGTCACATGAAGGTGACCCTGGCGAGTCATGAGCCATAAGCCCGGAGGACGCTGGAGTCACTCCAGCAGCTCCTTGCAGACGAGGATCTGCGTGGATGATTCCGTTTTCGAGCTTGGGGTTGAGGGTGGTGAATTGCAATCGTATCCGGATCTGCTCGTGGCTTATTGCGAACTCGTTATATGTTCGTGTCTGAAGGAAAGAACGCTGCATTCTGAACCTGAAGAAGTGCAACAATGTGCAACGTCGTCCAATGCACGTTCCCACAGAGTGTATTGACCCTGTTTGGTACTCCGAAGTCGGAGCAATAGTCTCCGATGCCGTTTGATCTTCCCAGATTGAGGCCCTGCTTGGGTCCACGACGTCGATCCAAACATGTAAATTCACAAGGACGCCCTAAAGCCTAAACCCTAAACCCTAGACTGAACCCTAAGCATCTCGAAGCCCTCAAGCTTCTAAACCCTCAGCCCTAAACCCTAAGGCTCCCTAGTCGGCAGGTCCGCGCTGGGGAGCCAGGGCCCTATTCCAACGCATGCAAGGGTTGAGGGTTGAGGATTGAGGTTGAGGGTTGCGGGGGGTTGAGGGTTAGTTGTCGGCTTAGGGTTGAGGGTTTTTGGGGTTCAACGATCAGGGCTTGCGGTTTAGGGCTGTTTGAAGGTTTCGTGCTGCGGCTCAGGGTTCTTGGGGCTTTGCTTTTCGGGCTCGGGCTTGCTCATCGTGGGTTGCTGATTCCTTGGTGTTTCGTGCCATGCTTGACAGCGTTTGACAGTCTTTGACAACGCATTGTTTCAAGTGGGTTCCCTAGGTCAGATTTATGAAGCCCGTGTACGAGCTGCTGGAAAGAAGCATTTTTCTAGGTCCAAGTAAAGCATGATGCTTCCAGTAAAAACGGTTTCCTCAGACTCATGAATTCATTCCGATCGGAGCAGGGTTTAGGCTCAAGAAGTGCTCTTTTTGCGACGCTCGGGCCCGGCCCCTTAAAGAAGTGCCTGCTGAGCGCCGCCAGTCCAAAGCGTAAGCCTTTCGGAAGCAATGGGCAATGTGACTTTTGCTTGCTGCCGACAGGCGACGGGCCAGTAGCCGAGGGTAGACACGCAAGCATAAGGTGAACCAGATCAGAAAGGCCCTACAAACCTAAACCGCCCCCAAGCCTTCAAGCTTTCCAAACCCTGCTACAAAGCACTCCCTCAGCCGGAGCCCTGAGGCCATGAAAGCTCTTGAAGAGGCCATGAAAGCTCTTGAAGAGCAAAACCTTTTGTTTTCAGACCCTTCAAAGCCGTGGCATTTCAAAATGGTGGGCCCAAAATTTGAAAACACCTAAGGCTACGACTGTGTGTGCAAAACCTAAACCTTAGTTCTTGAGCTCACGTTTTGTGTGTTTTTTTAGGGGGGGGGGTTACAGTTGGTGGTTTAGGGTATACGGTATCATTGTCCGTTGCAGGGATAATAGGGATAGTAAGGATAGCAATGACAGCAATGACAGCAACGACAGTAATGACAGTAATGAGTGATAGTGATGACGGTAATGACAGTGATGACAGTAGTGACAGACATGCCAGTAATGACAGTGATGACAGTGATGGCGGTAGTGAGACAGCAATGATGTCAACTCTCGCGATGAGAGTTACATGCTACTCATGTGTATTTGTGCCAAGGACAGAAACATGCATTTCACATGCTTGCTGTTGTGTCCCTTGTGGGCTAGGCAGAAAACTGGTGTTGTAATGTTCAGGCATGCGATGCCATGCGGAGTAATTAATTATTTGACTTGATAACAACAGCCATCACTTATCAACGTGACAAGCGAAGGTTGCAACCACTATCCCGGGAGCCGTAAATCCGTGTTCTGGCTATTGTATTCTGACAGTCCAGCCATAGGCATGTGGCGTGCAAGGTGTGGCAGTTCCCGAAAGAGGATGTTAGCGAGAGGCGTTCCTAAACAAAAGCCGCGTGGCCCCTGCTTCCTGCTAATCCTGAGTCAATCCCACCTGTGCAGGCGGACGCGCCGAACGACCGCGAGATCGAGTTAGTGCAGACCACTTTTGCCAAGGTAGCTGCCGTGGGTGCGGAGCCAGCCGGTCGCATCCTCTTCGGTCACATCTTTCGCATTGCGCCAGAGGCAAAGGCGCTTTTCCCTTTCGCGAAAGATGAGACGTCCATGTGGTTGCCAGGAAGCCGGCTGGGGGAGCACGGGGCCAAGGTCGTGAACACAGTTGCCACGGCCGTGTCCCTTCTGAAAGATCTGGATACTTTGGTCCCGATCTTGCAAAAGCTGGGCTTGCAGCATGTCAACTACAAGGTGCTTCCGCCCCATTACGATGTGGTCGGCCAGGCTTTCATTGCCACACTCAATGATGCACTTCAGGCTGAGTTCACCGAAGAAGTGAAGACTGCCTACCTCAAGGTCTGGAACATCGTGCAGACGACCATGACTGGAAACAATTATGCCGAATGATCCGCGTGGAGTTAGGATCGATGCGGTGCCAGTCTCCCATTGCACCTTTTCCTTGTCCTTCTCGCTTATTTGCGTTATTCCCAGTTGCCTGTGACGCTTTGGATGTTTTCCCGGCCTCTGCTACGATCCAAGATCTAGCATGAGGCTGAGCAACACGCCATCCGCACAGGTTGGCAGCTGGACGTGCCAGGACCAGAGGAAAAGGAATGTGAAGAAACACAAGTGTTCTGTGGTCATGCCTTCGGCCAGTGTGAAGGCCCCGTCATGAAATGTCAATGGAGACTGTGATCACGGTGGGGGGGGGGGGACATTGGAGCAACAACGGCAACAACAGCAGCAGCAGCAGCAGCAGCAGCAGCAGCAGCAGCAGCAGCAGCAGCAGCAGCAGCAGCAGCAGCAGCAGCAGCAGCAGCAGCAGCAGCAGCAGCAGCATTAGTACTAGTACTAGTACTAGTACTAGTACTAGTACAGTAGTACTAGTACTAGTACTATACTACTGCTACTGCTACTGCTACTATACTACTACTACTACTACTACTACTACTACACTACTACTACTACTACTACTACTACTACTACTACTACTGCTACTGCTACTGCTACTGCTACTGCTACTGCTACTGCTACTGCTACTGCTACTGCTACTGCTACTGCTACTGCTACTGCTACTGCTACTCCTACTACTCCTACTGCTACTGCTACTGCTACTGCAATTGCTATTGCTACTGCTACTGCTACTGCTACCACGACCACCACCACCACCACCGCCACCCCCACCACCACCACCACGACGACCAGCAGCAGCAGCAGCAGCAGGAGGAGGAGGAGGAGGAGCAGCAGCAGCACCAACAGCAGCAGGAGGAGCAGCAGCAGCAGTAAACTCGCGAGCTGTAGGAGGTATTGCAGACCACTTGTCATCATCCACGGATCGCCCCCGTTCGAAAACTGATGCCACCATGCAATGGCCCTGCGGGCTTGCCCTGTCTTCGAAATATGGGCCCTCCCCACCTGCATTCTGCAAGCCTGTTCTGCCCTCATCATGTCAGTAGGCGCCAGAGTCGAGCTCTTGCTGCTTGCAGGTTGCCGGCTTCACCGGCTGTGTGCTTAGCTCCGCCAGGGGCTCATGGAGAGCCAGTGTTTTTTGGAGGGGGGCTCTTCTTTAAGACCCACCCAGAAAGAGTCACGCCTTCCCACCTCCCTGAGCCCCCCTGAGCCCCCCTGAGCCCCCCTGAGCCCTGAGCCCCTCGCGCCTAGAATCCAGCATTGCCCCTCGGGTCGGTAGCCTTAAATCCTCCGCGTCTGCTCAGGGTTTATGCTGAGCCTCCCAGAGCCCCAAGACTCATCATCTGTGGTCTCTCAAGGCCGCCGGCTCCCTTGGAGCAATGTACAGTTGGGGCGCTGGGACGTGGATCCGGATCGCAGGCCTGCTTTGCATTGCCCAGATCTTCTAGAACAGCTTAAGAGGAAGGCATGTACTGAAGGCATGTACTCGTACCTGACTTGAGCCTCCAGGGTCATGCCCATATGATGTAATTTTGGAAGATCTGCGTGGCATCATTTAGCTAAAATTTAGCTACCGCCATTCGGAGGGTGAGGGGCTCAGGGTCTTTTCTCTTGGTTTGGGTTTTAGAGTTTAGGGTGAAGTGCAACGGTCGGAAAGCCAGACCTAAACCTTTCGAACACATAAGCCCAAAGAAGCCCTAGACCCTAAAATGCAGGGAGTTCTACTGCCGAGCTTGGCTCCTCAAAAACTCGGGGCCCCTGAGCCCAAAATCCCTGCTCTTGTGAGGTCCTGGTGCTTGAGTCCTTGCAGGAGGAGCTGCGACCGCAGGCGGGAGGAGCAGTTATTGCGCGGAAGTCTTCGGCGTGTTTTGCAGGTTTTCCTTCTGTAGGGAATCCGATGGAATCCTAAAACCCTAAACATCCCTAAACCCTGAACGGCTCTTGTAGGAGGCCCGACTTGTCGCCCCCCCAAAAAGGGCTTCGGGGTTCGAGCTTCTGGATTTGTATCGCGAAGCATGAAGAACAAAAGGGCCTGCAAGAAGTTCATGCACTGAACTTGTTGTGAGCGTGTAGTTGGACGGGCTTTCCACAGAGTTTCTGAGCGGTGGCGCGCTTTGACCTCAAGCCCAATCGCAAACTGCAGCAGTAAGAATCCTTACCGTCCACCCAGGGTTCTGCACATTTTGCAGGCGTGGTTTTTTCGGAGAGTGTTGCCTGCAACAGATGTATTGAAAGTTTTAATGACATGAAGCAAAATTACAGGAGGACTAAGTAACCGGTCGTTTGTGTATTGAAGCTGCTTCGTTTCTGAGGCTTGTAGCAATATCTTTTTTCCTAGGTTTTTGTTGTCAGGTTTTTCGGTTCTTGGTGTTTCTTGTTGTCATGATTGAAACTTTCATCCTTATTATCACTTTTTGTTTGTACTATGATATTGCTACCCTTGATGCCATTACATTACTACCTTCATGCCTTCCTTACGATTATTCTTGGCATCAGTAACAGCTAAGTTGCTATTGTGCTGTTGTTGTTGTTGTTGTTGTTGTTGTTGTTGTTGTTGTTGTTGTTGTTGTTGTTGTTGTTGTTGTTGTTGTTGTTGTTGTTGTTGTTGTTGTTGTTGTTGTTGTTGTTGTTGTTGTTGTTGTTGTTGTTGTTGTGTTGTTGTTGTTGTTGTTGTTGTTGTTGTTGTTGTTGTTGTTGTTGTTGTTGTTGTTGTTGTTGTTGTTGTTGTTGTTGTTGTTGTTGTTGTTGTTGTTGTTGTTGTTGTTGTTGTTGTTGTTGTTGTTGTTGTTGTTGTCTTAATCTTGCACATCTTCCGCTTGCTGCCGTCATTTTGTTCTTGTCAGGGCTTGCAAGGCACTTGCGCTGTGCGTTGGCGCATGAGGGTTTCTGTTGTATTACGGTTTTTTCCGGTTTTGCGCGTGCAGCAGCCCCCTAACCCCGAACCGATGAGGTGGATTCTCTGTTGGAAGAGGCCTTCCGCGGAGTTCACAGCTCCGTGTCCAAGAGGTATTGCCTCCGAACCCAACGACCCCCTATACCCAAAATCCTACTCCCACGGTCTTGTTGCGATAAGGTTTGTTAGAGTGAAAGGAGCTTTGGGAGCCTCGGGGAGTGCTGGGGAGTATCAAGGAACCTGCCCCCACCTGAACGAGCCTGCCTTAACAGCGACCTTCCTGCAGGAGGTTTGTGACTCAATCCCTAAACCCTTAGCAGCCTTACAGCCGAAGTTGACCCAATCCCTAAACCCGAAACCCCACTTCCTTAGCAACCTACAGCAGAAGCTTGACTCCAGGCTGGGTTCTGGGTTGCTTGCTCTCAACATCAGTTTGGTTCCCTGCCGAACAATGCCTGGGACTATGTCCCTGAACCCCGAAATCCTGAGTCCATGAAAGTTGGTCCAAGCGGATTGAGGCGATGACAAACAGCCATTGTATCTTGTCATAATATCTGGTTTCATCTTAATATATCTCATTCTGTCGAATTGTGCCTTATGATTTAAAGTGCAAGTTATTCTGCTTGTCCTACACCCCCATTGTGTGTGGTGTGCAGAACGAGCCCCAGAGCACAGGCGGAAGATTTCGCCGGAAATGCGTTGCCGCAGGCCGCGATGGCAGTTTGGTGGAGGGTCCCGGGGGTGTCTTGTGTCAGTGTATTCAAGTTTCTGTCCCTACCTCCGAAAGCCTCTGAACCCTAAACCCTAACCCCCCCCCCCCCTATAAATCTGTATACCCCTAAAGCCCCTAAAGCCCTAAACGCTGAAACGCTGAAGTTCATGCTCCCGAAGTCTGTCCAGTCTGATGATGAAGCGCTGCTCTTGGGCGACGCCGCCACCAGTCCAGTGAGAACCAGGCCGTTCTGGGAGAGGGTTGTGCCAGTGTGCGGGCTGGCGCAGGTGATACGAAAGCTGACCTTTGCTTGTTTTCGAGTCTCCAATGCTCGTTCGATGAGTCAGTGCAGCTGTTTGAAGTCCAACGTCCCTGAACGCTCCTAGAACCACCAAACCCTCAAACCTAAACCCTGAACTCCGCAACTCTACGACCCTAAACTCGAAACCCCCAAGCCGATAAAACCTCAACTCAGAACATGAATCCTTCGGGGTGAAGGAAGCGAACTGGAGCCGGCAGGGTGCCCCAGGCTTTTGGGCGTTACCTAAAATCCTCCTAAACCCTAACCCACATGCTATGTTTTTTTTTTTTTGAGGGGGGACTTTGGGGGGTTTGGGTTTGTTTTTTCTAGTTCAGGTATTCGGTTTTCTTGTCTGACGTGATCGGAGGATCCCGAAGCGAAGCCCCAAAGTCTAAAGCAGCGAGCTGACATCTTGGTGATAGGTTTTTGAAGGGTTCCGCGTTGAAGGTTCAGGACTAAGGGTGTCACGGTCAGGGTTTTAGTCGAAGGCTTGGGTCCAAACAAGAATCTGGTGGCCCTGAAGGACCGTTTTGACGTTTCATAACATGGCCTCGCCGATTCACATGCCCTAAGCCCGTGAGAATGTGTCAGGACAGGCAAAATGTCAACAACAAAAAGGCAAAGCCTTGAGTGACAAGCAGCCCAGGATTTGACAGCGACTCGGGCAGTGAGGCACGGAACGATCTGTACTTCAATCTGGGAGCGGTCGGGTTAGTAGTCGCAGCAGTCATCGTGAAATGCGCGGTTGCCACGATATTCTTCAAGCCGGCACGAAAGGATTAGGACTTCAATTTGAGAGTCTGTGAGAAAGCTGGCTTCGTACATCTGATGCAAGCAGCAGCAAAAACAGGGGTGCGGATGAGAGCGGTGCTTCGCAGCTTACAGAACGTTAGGGTTGAGGGCGCTTCTACATGTCTGCTCCCGCCACTGCGAACCCCAAAACCGCACCTTCGCGCACGCCCACCCTGAGTCTGCTCAAGGAAGCCGCAATGCAGCCTCACTGCAGCCCGAAACCAAAGTAAACCCTAAACCCTCAACCCTCAACCCTAAACCCTAAACCTTAAAGGCGCGAGGATACGGAAGCAATGCCAGAGTGTGTCAGGACGGCCTTCCGTGGGGCGATGCCGAAGTGGTGGAGGCAAGGTTCCGCATGCCCCTGCTGGAGAGTGGTCGGGTTCAGGTTGATGAAGTGGAAGCGCCTCTACGGTATTCACCCTCTTTTTTTTAGGCACCCAAAGGTCTCGCTTCTGGTTGCTTTTTCGCGAGCCCGCGCATGGGTTGAGGGGATGAGGGGATGAGGCAACGTTAGGGGGGGAGGTGGAGTGAAAACCCTTAGATCCCCAAACCCCCCAAACCTGTATAGGGCCCTAAAGCCTAAACCCGAAAGCCGAAACCCTCACCCCAAGCCCCCAAATCTCCCCAAGAGCCTCCGTAAGCCGAGAGCTCCGCGCAATTGAAATCCCCAGACGCCCCGCGCGACGGGAGTGCCGCTGGAGGCATCGCCTTCGCCTCCAGGCGAGCAGCCTCGCAGGGTTCAGGGTTTAGGGTTTAGGGTTTTTTGGCTTCTGATGTCCAGTTATTGGGCTCTTAGTGGGCTTCGATTCGGGCTTTTTTTTTGCAACTTTTTTTGGGGCAAAACAGGCCTCTCAGGGGTCTTTTGGGCTTTTCATTCAGGTTGTCTCGAGCCTTTTCAAAGTTGTGCGGTGCCGGCTAGTGTAGGTGTTAGGGTTGACACAACTGCCATAGCCTTGACATATTGAGGGCGGGCTTCGGGGGGGTTGGGGTTCAGGGTTTAGGGTTTGGCGGGCGTAGGGCTTGTATACTGGGCTTCAAAAATGGGGGTCCATGGCCATGAGATCTCCGGCGGTGGCAGGATGGGCCTGGAAGTGCATGTCGATGTCAGGCTGGAGGTCAGAAACCCTCATCCTTGTCCTAGGCCCGATGCCCAGATCCCGTCCCCGAAACCCTGAAAACCCAACATGCCGACGCCCCAAGAAAGGTGGTGAGGAACCGCTCCCGCACATGCCAACCCCGTTGCCGCAGATGCCCGGAGCCACACGCTCAGGGGAAGGCTCTTTGTGCAACCGTATCCCCAAACCCCAAAAGCCTAAACCTGCTTTTTGTCGTCGTTTCCTCATGTAAGCTTTACCCGAAGCCTAGATATTTATACAAACAAATATATATGTATATATATATATATATATAGATATAGATACAGATATAGATATAGACATAGATTTTTATATGCATTAGTGTCTACACATATATGTATATATATATATATGTATATATGTATACATATATATATATATATATATGTAGACATACATACATACATACATCCATCCATACATACACACATGTATATTCTTAAGAAGCATTGGAGTAGCCCCGTTGGGCTTTACATGTCCTTGGAAGATCCCAAGCGGCCTTGGGGTTTAGGGTTTCGGGTGTCTGTGCTTCGATGACCTCACCACCTTCAAGCCCCAAGCCCCCAAGACCCCCCACACCCAAAACCGCCCAGACCCCGAAGGGCCCCTAACGAACCCCTAATGTAGGGGCCTGAAGAATTAGAATAGGGATTTGGGGGTTGTTATAGTATAATCACAAAGGGACCATAAGGGAATGCTACCAGCGCCGTATTGCGGCACAGTTGGGAGCTTTGGGACCCTCCTTTAATGGCAGATTCCTCCGAGGGCCAAGCTGGATCAGTGTGGCCGGAGGCTTAAGTCCAAACCCCTAAACCCCATAAACCCCGTAAGCCCCATAAGCCCCATAAAGCCCATAAACCCCATGAACCCCATAAACCCCACAAAGCCTAAAGCCCCATACCCCTGGCTACCCCAAACCCCTAGCTCTGGAGTCGAGAATTTTTAGAAAACCCAGCGACAGGTGAATCTGCAGCCTGGGATCGTCCGCGCGAGCAGTGGCCCTCTCAAGGGGTCTTGTGCGTGTCTGCACCGTTTTCTTAGGGTTTAGGGGTTCGGGCTTAGGGTTTAGAGTTTGTGGCTACGGTCACTATTGCTGCTAGGATTGCTTAGAATCTGGGCCATTGCCTCGGAGCTTCGGCTTAAGCCAGTCAGGCAGATTGCTGTAGCGCACAAGAGCAGATGTGCAGAGGACTTTCGTGGCAGATCGTGCGTGCAAAAGTAGGATGCATCTCAATGTTGTCGATCAGAAGCCTTCCTTGGCGCCACCAAGCAGAGGGTCCTTTAAAGATGGCATTCTACTATACCATAGTAACCACCAAAACCATCTTCAAATTGTTAAAGTCTCCTCTACGGGATTTGACGGCAGCCATGCGGCGGAGAACGCGCTATTGCTCGGCGCTGCTGCTCGGCAGAAGTGTGGGGCAAGAGATGTGACCGGTTTTTTTTGCGATATGAAGGCTAAGGGCTTTGGATGTTCAAACCTTCTTCAACACCCAGGTTGGGGGTTGATCTAAATGATGGACCGTGTCTGAGTTTCTAGTGCAGTATGTGTATGCATCATGAAATACAAAAACAAACATAGATAAACAGAGAAGCAAATGAACAACTATATATATATATGTATATATGTAAATAAATGTGCATACATATATACATACTAGACACATGTGCGTGTATCGCACGCGCGCAAGCGGGTGGGCAAGAGGTGCTCCAGACCTCCTTGCGGCTCACTCCCTTGAGGCCTCAAGGCCTTCAGCCCTAAACCATGAGCCCTAACCCCTGCAGGCCCAAGCCATGAAACCAACACCCCCAACCTTAATCCCTAAGGCTCTGAATCGCGAGTCCTAAGAGCAATAGTAGTAAACGTCGGAATCGTCAATCGTCAGGATAGTCGTAGTATTCGAGTAAAAGGCCGTGAACATCACGTAATCACAGTAATAAAGGGGAGTGCATTAGCAAATCATACCAATAGTGCTAAATAGCAGTGATACCAAATCAGAGTGATAATCGCACTACAGGAAACCTTAAAGTCTAAGGCTTAACTTCCCAAAACCCATACTGATAGTTCTACTACCAGGTAACCTTACATACAACCCCCAAAACCCGGTAAAAGGCCGGCCATCACCCTGCTTGCATGGCCGCTGTGGTCCCTCGCGATGACGCGGCAGCCTGCGATGGGGTCGCACCCCGTGGAGCCGGGAGCCCAGGGCATTTGGTGTTAGGGTTTCGGGCTTACGGCTGCGGGTTTAGGGTTTAGGGTTTAGGATTTAGGGTTCAGGGGCAGGAAGTATCGGTAGACTTAAGAAGTAGCAGCAGCAAGAAGAGGGCGCCCGAATCCCATTCCCCAATTCCAAAAGCAAGGCCCAGGCGTCTGAAGGGGTTTCTCCCAAACCCTAGACCCTAAATCCTCCGGAAACCCTAAGCCTGAAATCCCAAATATAGAGGCGTTAGGGTTGAGGGCCCTTAAACCTTAAGCCCGAAGCGCGAAATCCAAGCCCCCCAATTCTGGCTCCCCCGAGCTCCCTCGGCCGACAGGTCTGTGCGTGCTGCTGCGAGTGGCCTGGCACGCCCAAGGTTTAGGGTTTCGGGTTGTGATGTTCCCCCTTATACGGACAGTCCTTAAAAGGCAGTATGGTACCCCCCCCCCTATTATAATCCCCATTAAGGAGCTGTTGGTATAAGGGGGGAACATCCCAAGTTTCGGGTGAAGGTTTAGGGGGATCCTGACTCCTTCATGCCTCGATGGTTGCCCTTTGTTTTTTGGGGCCCTGCTGATGAGTCAGGGTGCCAGGCGGTTTCAGGTGTCGCGCCCCGATGCTCGGGTTCAGGTTCTAGAGGGTTTGGGGATGACGATAGGCTTCGGGCTCAGAAACGCCTCTCGCCCTGACCTGGTCTCGACCTTGAAGCCGCCAAACCCTAAACCAACAACCCAAAACCCTAAACCCTAAAGGCCCTAAAGGCCCTAATCCCTAAACGCCTTCCAGCTCTTCTGAGCTCTGACACGTGCAAAGGCGACTACGCAGCCTGGGCCAGGGAGAAACTGCTCAGAAGCATTCCCGACATCCGCAACATTGAGGTAGAGGACCCAAGGGTTTAGGGTTTAGGGTTTATGTTTAGGCACTGGTGGAAGCTCAACTGCGAGTTTCAAGTGGGGGGGGGCTTTAGGGTTGGGGTTCTTAGGGTTTTTAGGTTTTTTTTTTTTTTTTTTGGGGGGGGGGGGGTTTCGGGTTTTCGGGTTTAGAGTGGTCCTTCCTTCTCAGAAGTTCTGCGCCAAAAGGCTGCCCTGCGCTAAGTTGAGAAGAGCGCCCGATCCAACATTTTTGTTGTCCAAGATGAGATACTGGTACGGTTTAGGGCTTCGGGATTAGGGTTAATTGAAATCAGTACAAACAGATGTAAGCATAAAGAATGTTCTTGCCCCCGCTATCCCCCCTTCCCCTTCCTCCCTCCTCCGCAGTCTGGACTCCAAAGCGCCAAGCCTAGCTTCGATGAGCCTAGCCGCATGATGCTAAACCATGAGCATTCCTAAGTCAGTAGCAGACATCCCTAAAACGTAGCTGAAAACCTCAACCACGGCCCGAAGCCCTAAACCCGAAGCAGGACGTGAGTGATGGCCACACTGTGGAGGGCTTCGCGGACGGCAGCAAGCGGGCGCAGGACCCGAATGGACGTGAGCTGAAGGACCGAGCGAGCTCTAGGAAAATTCCGGTAGGGCCTTTTAGGTTTTTGGGGTTTGGGTTTGAGGGTTTTGGGGGTTTGTGGTTTACCATAGCATTCGTTGTGAAGGTTGTGTCTTTCTGCACGTGACAGGTTTTATGCAGCAGGCTTGTTGTTATGGAGTGAGGCTTTCAATTGGACAGTGGTCGTGGGGTTGTTCGTGGTCGCGGCGCGGTCGCGGTCATGGTAGTGGTAGTGGTAGTGGCAGTGTAGTGGTAGTAGTAGTGGTAGTAAACTCAAACCCGAAACCCGAATATAGTAACTCTAGACGAGCTGAGCCCTAGTGGAGCTGAACACTAATTGTAGTGCATCCGCCTGGCAGGTCCTCGTGGTGTCTGGCGCGTTCGAGTCGCTGAGCCCCGTTCAGCGGCAGCGCTTGGTCCACAAAGCCCTGGAGGCGCGGGGTCCTTGAGGTTAAGGGTTTCTGGTTCACAGTTTATTGTCTTGGAACCTTGGGCGTTCGATGGTTCGAACGTTTAGGGTTTTAGTTTCGGAGGCAGGGGGGTGGACGAGTGCATGTCCGTATACTTGCAAGCAGAAAGTAGAAAATTGATGGTCTAAGTACCGGGTTTAGCCTTTTGTGTTCAGACTTGGGAGCGACTAGCGATTGCCGACTGCCGACTACCGTCTGCCGGCTACTACGCCGACTACTACTCCGACTCCTACACCACTACACCGACTACTACCACTACCACTACTGCTCCTCCGACTACTACGACCACGACGACTACTACTATTCCTCCTACTACTACTACTACTACTACTACTACTACTACTACTACTACTACTACGACTACTACTACTACGACTACTACTACGACTACTACGACTACGACTACGACTGCGACTACGACTGCGACTGCGACTACGACTACTGCTACTGCTACTGCTACGCTAGTGCTGCTACTGCTGCTACTGCTACTACTGCTACTACTGCTACTACTGCTACTACTGCTACTACTGCTGCGACGACGACGACGATGACGATGACGAATACGACAACAACGACACCGAGCGCTGCTCCAGCAGCTGCCTGCTTGTTTGCTTGCTTGCTCGTGCTGCTGATGCTGCTACTGCTCCTGATTTCTCTAGTTTAGATGCTTGGAACCTGGCCCGAAACCCCCAAACGCCAAATCCAAGAAACCCGGACCCTAAATAAACCCTGAGCCCCAAACCCTCCAAGCTCGGAACCTGCCCGCAAACCCGACACCCTGAGCAAGGAGGCGCTCAGCTCTGGCGCCATCCACTCCCTGCCGGCCTTGCGGACACTGACCCCACAGCAGTGGGAGGAGCGGGGGTGTAAGGTTACAGGGTTTAGGGGGTCTCGGGTTGAGGGCCCCACGCCCTGGACTAAACCTAGGGGCCTGGGGCTTCAATGTGTAGGGTTCAGCAGGTGTCCCGAGCTTCTGGAGAGGCGATACGGGCTGAAGGGTTCAGGGTTACTGGTTTGCTCTCTACGTGGCCGAAATTGCTTGTAGGACTCTGCAGGCTCATCTCACGAGGACTCATCGGCGCAAGCAAGCCCTAAGTCTATGAGAGAGCGCATGGCAGCCGCAAAGCAAGTCCACGAGAACATCACGCGCTGCAGGAGAAAGATTGCTCCCGGGAACAACAGGTGAACTGTGCGATTCGGCCGGCATTGTGTATGGCACTCCCTCCACCGCCACCCGCACCTCTAAAGCTGAAAGGGCCAGCGAGTCGTAAACGAATCGGCCCTGTGCATGAGTGTATCAGTCCTAGTTCGACAAGAGGCTCATTATTCAGTCCACGCGTATGATGATCAAGCCCTATACAATTCGGGTAACCCCCCCCCCCCCCCCCTGCTTCGTGCGAGGTTTGAGGATCCATGTAGGTCAGCGTGTATAATACAGTATGTGGAAGTGCTCAAGTATCAGCGTGTATAATACAGTATGTGGAAGTGCTCAAGTATCAGGGTCTTCACTGGAGAGGCAGCGGGCCACACAGCCATGGCTGCCGGAGCTGCAGACTTGTCGCGCTATTTGTCTGCAGTGCAGGATGCCGACACTGATGAGCGGCGGCAAGCGAACCTGCAGGACGCGCAGGAGCTCCTTCGCCGAACCAACACGCTTGAGGAGAATACCCTGGGGAGATCCTGGCTCTATTCGCGCTGGACAGCACCTCTGGCGCCTGGCTTCTGGAGCTTTCAAACCTGCTTCTTGATGAACCGGTGAAGGATGCAGCAGAGCGAGGGGGAGCCGCGCAGTACGATCGACTTTTCGAATGGAAGCAGCGTGAGGGTAGTAATCTCCCCGATGCCCTGTTCAAGGCGCTGGCCCTTGTGAACTTGCCGGTTCGGGGGATGCAGAACAAGTTTGGGGGCGGTCCTGAGTGCATCGCTGCTACCCATGTGACGGTTCTGTCCTGCGTGTATCACTGCTTCCCGTGCGACGAGCTCAAGATGTTCTCCAGGAAAACCTCGGAGCCCAAGGAGCTGGTCAGGGCCGGTCACAACGGGTCGCCGTCTGCGATGACCAGGCTTGGCAGGCAGCAATCCCGCAGTATGTGAACCAGCTGTACCTGGAGATTCCCGACACTCGCATGCACAGCTGGGCGCGTGTCCGCGACGCCCTGATGCAGCAGGTCAATCGGCTGTGCCGCATGCCTTCACACATAGTGTCTCTGCACCTGCGCAGTGAGAGCACATGTGCACATTGTCATTACTGGTTCATCTTGGAAAGCTGGCTCCAACGCTGGCTCAGTGAGCTCCAGCAAGTTCGCCGGCAAGGTCACGAGACATTCATCCGGTCCTTGCACCTGGACCTCCCACTCTTGCTTACGCCCGATGTTCGACCTGAGATCATTAAACTTTTTGCTTTCCTGGCAAACTCGACACTGATGGAGCTGTCGCTGAACTTCTTCGTGAGCCATCTGGGCCAGGAAGTCGGAGATGCGACAGACGGCTTCAGTCCCACAGATGCCTTGCTGGGCATGGTGCGGCACCTGCCACCAAGGCTGGAGACCCTGCGCCTGACAGTCAAGCTGGGATATGTCAGAAGTGTCCAGTTCTTCCAAGACACGGTGTGCCAATTGGCCGCGAGAATGCACCAATGTCGCTCCCTCAGGTCGCTGCACCTGGAGCTGTTCCTTCCGTCCGGCAAGCGCTTCCAAGTTCAGGCATGGGAGAACCTGGCCAGGAACTTGCCTCAGAACCTCATTGATTTCAACTTGCGCACTGACTTCAACACCTACGACCTGACTTGGCTCCGGGACAGTTGGCGCCTTGCAGGACTGACGTGACCAGATCCAGCAAAACCACCCGATCCACGCAATCCACCAGGTAGCTAGAAGTGTCTATCTGCTAGCGTTTGCTAGCTTTTCCTGGTGGACTGACGGACAGGCTTCAGCTTTGATGCGGGATGGTGGGAAAATTATCTGTTAAGACTAGGAAAATACCAAGAATTAATTATGTGAAGTGCAATGCGTCATAAGCCCCAGAGCCTGAAACAGCAAGAGACCCTTAGATGACTTTTGGGGCACCCTCAGAATGACGTTTCGGGAGTTGATTTGTCAAATTTTGATAATTTCTACGGGGCTCTAGACCATATACATATATATAACCCCTACATAACCCTATGTACAACCCTCTGTATAACCCTATCTAAATATAACCCGATTCGTTTGCCCAGGTTCCGCCGGAGGCGGTGGTGGACGAGGATGCCTTGGATCTGCCGCTCCTGCCCCAACAATCTTAGGGTTCAGGGCTTTTCTTTTCCGGAAGTTCGGGGGGGGGGGGGGGGTTTGTGTGCGCTTGGAACAGCAAACCTCAAAAACTGCTGGGCCACGAGAGCAAGCTCCTTTAAGCCCTATGACCGATGCCCGGGGGCTCAGTCACCCTCCCTGCACACACTGAGGACTCTGTCCGGAGACTGTGGCTCCTGCCATCGCTGAGGGGGCTGTGGAGCTTGTGATTCCATTGTTCTCTAGGACAGTTTCAGCTGGGCAGATTGCCCCCCCGTATGGCCTTTGTGGCGCTTTTCTATACAACCCTTAGCAGCCTTAAATTCCCTGCCTTTGGCCAGGAACCTGAAGCCGAAACTGTCCTTACTGCTCGAAAAGTTGGGGCGATGGTGCGATCCCCCACGAAGTTCTGCCCGCATCAGGGCACGACTATGTTCATAGCGCCTTGAGAGACTGCGAACTGGGACCGTGCGTCTCTCGCAGGGCGAAGGGCCAGCGCTTGAGGCCCTAAGGCGAGGAGGCATCCCCAAAACTGACGACCTCAGCTCTTAGCCCGTGGAGTTATTTAGGCCCCCCAAGGCTGAGGGGACCCCAGGATCCGCACCCGAAATCCCCGCAGCCTCAAGCGCCAAGCCCTGGCAGAGCGCAGCTGAGGCTGCGGGAAGTGTTTTCCAAGTCGGGCATGCGTAGCAACAGGCAAGGTAAAGTCTAAGGGCTCGGTGTTCAGGGTTCCTTCAGCCCGAAGGCATTTTTTCAACGTTTAAGCCATGAAGCCGAGCCGCAAGTTGCAAGGAGGTCTCTGCTTTGCACGTTGCAGCAAGTCAGGGAAGGAAATTTGGTTGGTGCTAACACAGTCCAGCTTCCGAGACATCATCAGAATCGCCAAGCTCTCCAGCAGAATCGTAGCAAGTGCTCGTCTCCGGGCTCTGTCTGTCAGATGTCTGCACATTGTTTGCACCAACTTCCTCTTCCTGTTCCTAGCTATGCGACTCGTACTGTACCCTTATGTCTCTCTCTTTCTCGCTCCTTCTAGCGGGCAAATGAGTGTCAAATCCAAGTCTCAATCTTCGTCACGGACGCAGACGTGGCAGATTAGGTCTCAGATGGTATCTGTTCCCTCCTTGTCGGATTCTGCTTAAGCCCTAGGTCCTAAACCCAAGCTTAGAAACTGAACTGGAGCCGCGGAAGCGGGATGCGCTTCATTCTCGGCGGATCGGGGCTTCTTTGCTGAGTTGACAGCAGTTGCTTTTGTGGTGCATGCCTGTCATCTTCCATTGCCTGCGCACGTTCTGCCGAGTAGGCAGACTAGGAGTAGCCACCGTCCACGGCCAGAGATGTCGCAGCGTTTGTTCCGGGACACACCAACCTAGGGGGCAGAATGGTTCAGGGTTTCGTCTCACGTTTGTTCAAGAGACATTGGCCCGGTAACCCCAAGCCCCAAGCCTCAACGGCAAAGGTCTCTGTGGGGTGTGTGGGTGATTGCCGCCGGCTTCCTCAATGTGTCATATGAGCCTTCAGGGCTTCGGGGTCCTTGTAAGCAACTGGTTGCGAGGATATTCAGCGAAGCTGATGAATGTTAAGCAGGGCCTGGACACGCTTGAAGTATGTAATAGCCTGGTGCGAAAAGGTTGGTGTTTGATGAATCAGAAAGCTACCTGATTCGGTCAAACTTACGAAGTGGATGTCATTCCTGCTGGTCGCTTCGACCTCTTGCGTTTCTATTTGCGTTGTAAAGCCTATTTTGACATTTCGTTTTTGCAATGTGCTTGGTCTTTCCCTTGAAACTTACCAAAGGCAAACAAACCCAATAAGCTGTAAACCCTAATTTCCATGGAGATGTAGGGTTAGGGCTGCTTACTTGGCTGTTTCATCGACTGGTCCTGGGTGTAGTTGCGATCCAGACACACCGCCTGGGTTCTCGCAGCTTGCCGCGTCGCGTGCTCTGAAACTTTCCAGATATTTCCAGTCTTCGCACGCCGCTGTGGCAAGCCATGCGTACCTCGAACATGCCCCCGCCATTGACAGCACAAGTCTGCATCGCTGACCTATGGTCAGACACCATTCGTCGCCATGTCGAGCGAAAAGTCGCAACATATCCTGAAGAGGGTGAAGGACAGAGGCTTTCCAGCATCAAGCTGTTGCACGCTCCTGATGCAGAGCAGGCGAGATCCACAGTAGACCCTCCGTGGCCCTCAGAACTCCGACATGCCGCGAGAAACGAAATGGGGGTTTACGATATTCGGGGTACCTTACTGGGGCCCTTATGATAAGGGGATCCTACTATTTGGGGGTCTATATTGGGGGTCCCCTATTTTCGTAAACCCCCAAATTGAATCCCTAAGCCCTGAACCATCCTGAACCCAAGGCTCTGCACTTAACGAAGCCGCTGAGATTTTTTTTTGTGCCCCTGAGGCTCCGCGATCTCTGCAGGGGTGGACATGGAGGCCATCTTAGTTGCGCCCTGCGAGCTTGGAGGTTCTTTGCTTCCTAGTTGTTTGGCTTGGCCTTTTTTCGCATGCCCAAGGCCGATGGGGTTGGGGCTTCTTGCCAGGCCTCGATGTAGAGTGGCGCATGCCCCTGAAACTGAAACTGCTCAAGCTGTGCATGTCATGCAGCCGCCAGAATGTGCGCATCGCCTGTAAATTCAGCTGGGCAGCTGCAGCATGGTGGCAGTTGTGGTAGATACTGGCAGTTGCCTGTGCAAGGTGGGCTTTTCTGGCGAGGATGCCCCGCGCGCTGTTTTTCCGTCTGTGGTGGGGCGTGTGCGCCATCCTATGGTCATGGTTGGCTTCCACTACCGGCAGAGTTACGTGGGTGAGGATGCTTTGTCAAAGCGGGGCATACTGCGCCTAAGATACCCAGTTGATTGCGGCGTTGTGATCAGCTGGGAGGACATGGAAGCGATTTGGTCACACATCTTCTACAACGAGCTGGCCGTGTCCCCAGAGGACAACCCCGTACTGCTGACGGAGCCGCCGATGAATCCCAAAGCCAACCGAGAGGAGATGACCCGCATCATGTTTGAGGCCTTCAGTGTTCCGGCGCTGCATGTAGCCCCTCAGCCGGTCTTATCCATGTATGCCTCGCGGAGGACGACAGGGGTGGTGGTGCAATCGGGACACGGGGTCACCTGCGCAGCGCCGATCTGCGAGGGATTCCTCCTGCCCCATGCGACCCTGTCCTCGCCTGTAGCGGGGGGTCGCCTGTCCGAGTACTTTGAGCAGCTCCTGTTTGAGAAGGGCTGGACCATCACCTCGCGGGAGCATGAGATCTTGCAGGACATGAAGGAGAAGTTGTGCTGGGTGGCTTTGGACTTCGACTCTGCCATGCGCGGCGCATCTGAGCATCCTGCATGTTCCGACCACGGCCGGCAGAACCACTACGAGCTCCCAGGCGGAGGACTGGCTTCCATCGGGGATGCGTCTTTCCGATGCCCAGAGCTGCTCTTCCAGCCGAGCCTTGGAAACATCGGGGCGCCCGGGCTCCATGAGCTGACCTCCGAGTCGATCCAGGGGTGCGGCGTGGAGATTCGGCCTGAGCTCTTCTCCAACATCGTCCTGGCGGGTGCCTCGACGCTCTTTCCCGGCACGGCCGAGCGCCTTGCAAAGGAGCTCACCTCCCTGGCACCCTCGGAGGAAATCAGCGTCATGGCGCCGGCCCACAGGAAACATGGTGAGTGGCTGGGAGCTGCCATTATCTCCTCCGTCTCTGCCTTCCAGCAGCTCTGGCTCACAAGGGAGGAGTACGACGCAAGTGGGGCAGGAAGCATTCATGAGAAGTGCGTGTACGCAATTCAATGAAACTCAAGTCAGCGACAATGGGCTGCCAGTGCGTCTCCCGCTCCGCGACCTCTGTCCTTGAAGGAGTACAAGCGGCCTGCTGCGAGCCCACGTATCTCCAAGCTTCCAAGCCCCAGCGCCCTGACCTTCAAACCTCCTCGCGGAAATGCGGTCCCCGTCGCGTACGCCTGCATGCGTTTCCCCGCCTTTCCCTTCAGCTCGCGGGACCTGCCGACGGCCAGAAGGATGGTCATAAACGCCATATTGAGGGCGAACCAGTTGATGGCGGTTCCCGAGTTCTGAGGTTCTAGCTTTGCATGGTGCCCACGAGAAGTTATCTACTAGTAGGGCTTGCGGTCCCAATTCCTGAACCCAAAGCCATCCTCAACCCGAAACCCTAAAACCCCCCCCCCCTCAAACCCCCACAAACAACCCCCCCACCCCCCCCAAAACCCCCAAGCCGCCCTGCAGCTCCCAAACCCCACTAAACCCCGCTGAATCCTGCAGGGGAAGATTGGGGCGCTTCCCATGCTCGTGCCGCAGCTGCCCCCCTCCGCAGAGTTCTTGCGGGGGCCCCTGAGCCCCAAGCCCCAAGCCCCATGCCAAGGCCTCCAGGGCTTGAGGGTTCTTCGAGTTCTCTGAGGTTGATAGCATCTTCTGCTTCAGGATTTCCGGGTTTGGGGATGGTCGCTACATTTCGTGCTCAGGTACGGAATTGCATTTTCTTGATTTGGGTTCTCAAGGGTGCCGGAGGGAACCGAGAGGAGGGAGACGGCTTGCTTTAGCAAGGGTGAGACAGCACAAGTACGCCAGGAAGGAGAGAAGGAGATGAGATCCCTAACCTTGAACTCCAAACCCCGAAACGCGAAACTCCCCCGCCCAGGGAGGAGATCGATCAGCAGATTGAGGACTTGTTGGACAGGCCGGACTCGTTGTTGGTTTCACCCCAAACCAGATACCGCCGAACAGTGTAGCTTTCTTCGCGGGCCTACTGCCTAAAGGTTCTTCAACGATGCCGCTGCATGGTCCTCGATCGAGGAGCAGGCCAGGACATGGGAGGTTGCGTCTACGTGAAGCCCCTTGGAAATTGCCCAAAGCTCACAAAGACCTTGCTCGACAGCCCAATTCGGCTGCAGGTGCTCACGCACACACTGCATCCCGAGAAGGATAACTCAAGCATCCCAAGCCCTAAACAACAACGTTCCTCTGCACCCGGGCTTCTCTTATTACCGGCCCTGGCGTGGCAGGCTTCCAGCGTTGCACGCTCTCTGGACAGGGATGGGGTGCACATTTCGGGCTGAGAATGTTGGGTCGAAGGCATCAGGGTGTCATGTCAGTTTTCTATGTTGTTATGAATGTGTGTGTGTGTGTGTGTGTGTGTGTGTGTGTGTGTTGTGTGTGTGTGTTGTGTGTGTATGTGTGTGTGTGTGTGTGTCTGTGTGTGTGTGTGTGTGTGTGTTTGTGTGTGTGTGTGTGTGTGTGTTTGTTGCAGGGTTCCCTGAACATCAATACGAAGTTGTGGTGCATTCTTATGATAACTAAATTTTCTGAACCCTCCTTATCCTAGGTCTACGACTACGACTACGACGACGAAGACGACGACGACTACTGGTACTACTGCTGGTACTACTGCTGGTACGTACTACTAGTACTACTACTAGTACTACTACTAGTACTACTACTAGTACTACTACTAGTACTACTACTAGTACTACTACTGCTCGTACTACTACTTGTACCAGTATACTAGTACCAGTATACTAGTACCAGCATTCTAGTTCTTTTTGGTACCAGTCTACTACTACTACTACTACTACTCTACTACTACTCTACTACTACTACTACTACTACTACTACTACTACTACTACTACTACTACTACTACTACTACTACTACTACTACTACTACTACACTGCTGCTGCTGCTGCTTCTACTGCTACTACTGCTACTACTGCTACTACTACTACTACGACGACGATGACGACGACGACGACTACTAAACCCTGAACCCTGTTTCTGGTTTGCAGAGTGTGAATTCAGAAAGGCCGGTGTGCACTCAGCCACGCGACAACACTAGCCCTGCGAACCAGCCACCAGACAAGTGATAAAGCCGTGCCGAAAGGGAACTTGCATTTTTAGGTATATTGCCGACCATCAGGTTTGTTAAAGTGCAGGAAACAGATTCCGAGACCTTTGCTACAACCCTGATTACATTCCTTCGGCAGGGCAAGGCTAACTACAGAGCTGAGCCCCTCGTGGTGTACAAACGCACCTTGCCCACTCAAGCCTGTAGAACTGCACAGTGACTGCATATGTGCGCGCATTCATGCGCGTGCAGCACGATTACGTGCGAACATGTCAATGTGTTCAACACCCTGAACTTGGCACTTCATCAGCCGTAAGACCCGCTTGTGAGCAGGGATCTCGTTCAAGGCCTCATGAAGAGCCGCAAGACAATGAACCAGCCTTTGAGCATGGCTCTTTAGGTCTCAGTCGCGTCCCTCAGAACCAGCCACGTGAGTTTCTTTGGATGTCCTTCAGGCAACGCGTAGGGGCACTGGGGACCTTCAGCATCATCCCTCAGCACTCAATCCGAAACCCGATGAACTCCTCCTCCTCCTCCTCCCCCTTCGTCCTCCTCAAATTCGTCCTTGCCTGTGTGCAGGAATCTTCCAACGCATCGCCAGAGGATGTGCAATACTTTCGGATCCAGGCCTATTGCCATGCCGGAGGGCTGAAGGGTTTCGGGCTCAGGGCTGAGGGTTGAGGGTTTCATGCGTAGCTCTCGCAAGAGCTTCCTGTCTAGACACTCAACATTAACAACAGTGGGGCACCTCTGAAGGTGCCCACACCATATCCTGGCGTACAATACCGTCGGACAGCGCCTCAGCCGGCCGGGTTTGAGGGTTGTTGTCGCAGAGTTCAGGGGTGTCGGGTCAAGATTCGCCATCTTGTTGCTGTTGCTATCGCAGGCAGTTGTGGTTGCTGCTGGGCTGCTACCATTGCTACAAGCAGCTGCTACTGGTATGTGCAACCCCATGATAGTAGCCTCATGCGCGAAAACCCCAAGGCTCTAAGGACGTCAAACCTCTAAACCCCTGAAGCTGGAGGTCGATGTGCCTGGATGACAGGCCATCCGGAGTTTCAGGGACCCAAGATTCGTGATTCCACCCCTCGGCCCCGGCAACTCTTCCCGGGGCCTGCGGGCATGACACATCCTATGCACTTTTTGGGGTTCAGGGCTTCCATCTCACAGTAGCCCCTTTCAGGGTTTAGGGCAGGTTGTTAGGGCTCAGGATTTCAGGCTTCTAACTCGTTGAGCCCCTTTTTAGGGTGTAGGGCTTGTAGCTCCGAAGCTTTCGAGGCTTCGAGGGGTTCAGGTTGCAGACTTGGGGTTTCCAAAATGTTACAGGCCTGCCAAATTCTCATACTTCTATTCTTAGCTCGAAACAAGTCTGCCGGGAGAAGCCTAGAGCAATGCCTGTTTAGGGCCTTCAGTCTGCAATGCAACCTTCTGTGGGTTTGTGCGTGGGCTCTGGGCTCGCGGCTTCACTGGGGATTTTGCACTGGGACGCGGACGAATGATTCGACTGCTGCTTCGTATACCTGCGATGACGACCGAAGGCCAAACAAAGGTTGGGAGTCAAGGCTTGAGCTGTTCCTTACAGGGGAGTTAAACCCCGAAGCCCAGAACCCTAAACCCCAAACCCTAAAACCCTAGATGACACGGACAGAGGAGGATTTGTTTTTCTTGCGCAGCCTTCTGAACCTCTCGAATGACCAGGTACGGGCACTTCGCCAAGCAGGGCCAGATTGCTTGAACCTCAGAGAACCTCGGAGTTTTTTCTGCACACATACATATATACATACGCAGATGGAAGATGTACTTAGACTTGTAATGCAAACTACTTGAAAAGACCCTTCGATAGGCCCCTACATTCAGCTGCCTCAGCGAAAGCAGGAAGCCATCAAAGGAGTCAAAGGCCAGGTTCGAAGTAGGGGCTTCCAGCCCCAAGGCTTCTGGCGCCCGGGTTGAATTCTCAGTCTCGAAAGCAACAGCTAACATTTTTCAAACGCGATGGTCCAAAAGATGTTTCTTCCTGAGTACAAGATTAAATTTCAGAGCAAAACCGTTCGGCTCCTTATCAAGCAGATGATTCCTTCCTTTTTTGGATCCCAGTTTCTACTTTCAGCTGCTGTCCCAGCGTTTTTGGGGATGGAGGGCATCTACTTTGATATATTATACTATAATATACTATAATATTCTATACTATACTATACTAAAATTCAATATACTATAGTATACGATAATTTGCCATAATATGGGGCCTGGCGGTGGTGCCCGCCTTCCTTGGGTGGCTGAGGTCGAAGGCATCGTCGACGGGGAGTGGCTCCGAATTTCGGGCAAGATCTTTCTGCCGCTCAAGGTGGGCACCGAGGGTGTCGGGTACGTGGGGCAGTTTTTCACATCAGGGCCTTTTTCCGGGTAGCCTGCCATGAGAGGGAGAATGGGAGCTCCCAAAAGGACAGTTTTTCGGAGCTGGCCACGTGTTCAGGCATTTTTTGGGGGGGTGGGTTCGTGCTCCAGAATCTCAGCTTGAAAGGGGTCGTGCCGTTGCGGGGCCTTTTCGGAGCAACTCTCAAGAGGCCGAACACCCCTGAGCCCTAAAACCCCCCCGCTCCGTCAGAGTCTTAGGTCGGCTTCGTCTCGATTCTGGAGCCTATCACCAAGAAGGAGCTCCCCAATCAAGCCCCCCGGTTGGGTTCAGGCTTCGCCTCATTCATGGAGGCTAGCACATCCCACGGTGACACTGTGTTCCGAATTCTTGCGACAGCCGTCGCAGCTGAGTTTGGCATCCAGTACGGTGCTTTTCCCCTTGTGAACCTCGGACACTGGACGGCTCCCCCAGACCCGCGTCCTTCACCTGTAGTGGTTTAGGGTTCAGACCCTAAACCCTCTAAACCTCCCGCCCGAAGCGGCCCTGCGCCTTTCATGCCAGAGCCCTGAGCACCAAGAAGCA